CAACTAACAAACTCGAATACTTAGCTAAGACAACTGAGAATGGATAGTTATTCCATTTAACAATACTCCCATCTTAGTGTATTTGGCCAGATTGCTTGAAAACATATTCACTAGTTCTTATTTCTTAGTAAATAAATTAATTTAGAATTGGGACCTTGAATTCTTTAAGTTGTTGCAAATGATTGAAGAACTTCAACAATATAATTAAGATGAGTCATAAATTTCTTTCTAGCTGTTGTCTAGTCTTGAGGTTAGTGGCAATCAATAGCACGGACTTCAATGTTAATTAAACGATTCTCTAATAAAACTAAACGACTGTTTTTAAGCTACAGAGCTAGTGGGTGGCACTTGTTCTGTCCAAACAATTTGACTCTATTATGTATTAATTGGTTTCTATTATCGCCGCATTCCAAGTTAATGTCAAAAAATTTGACTCTTTGTGGTCTCATAGCCACCAAAATATAACGGCATGAATATAGTATGTTCAGTCTCCATCGGGTGTCTATAGTCATTCTACTTACATGCTTCCACACATCTACATACATCGTACATACACATTGTTGACTAATGGTTGAGCTCATCTTTTGGGTTAAATGCCAGTTTTGTTGTCGCACCAATACGGCAATTGCTCAGACTACCTCCCCATGTGCATATAAGTACGAGTATATCTATATTTAAACAAGTATGCATAAGTTTGTGTATTGCATGCTATGTGTGTACCCTGTGGCTCGTCGGACCTGAACCACCCACATGGCACCAAAAAGGAAGTCGGTTTGAGTGATTCACTTTTTTTTTTGGCAATGTTTGCTAATTGCTGGGTGATTCCTGCAATGCCAGTTTATTGACACCGAAACCGTTGAAATCACTCCACAATCAGTGTAAGCTTTTTAAATTTTAATTTCGATAAGTTTGTCAGTTATCAATTATATAAATAGGGACACACTGAACTTGGACTGAAATTTATTGCTGTTTGAAGCCGACGCAAAAGAAATAGGTTTTTAAATAAATAAATAAAATAAAGTATACAGTTTGCATCCATTAGTTTATGATACTACTTGTATGTGTAATCTAAAAATAAATAAATGAAATATACCTAATTCTGTTTTTACACGGTAGATTGGTTCCAGAACCAATTGTTGTTAACTCTTTGTGTAATTCTTTGTAACGACCTATACAAGAATGGTTTCTAGCTGTTCGCGATTTTATTTATTTGTGTTGTGCTTTTTTAAATCGTGCTAAATGGAATAAAATCGTGTAACAAGCCGTGTAGACACAGAATTAGGTGTATATGATTCAACATTTCCCGCTACATCCCCTACCCTTGGAAGCATCTCACCACCAGCAGAACTGCAGGGTAGTAACAAACAATTGATCAGTGGGGAGACCAAAAAAAACTTAAGCGCATACACCTACACATACACACACGTTACCTCAAGTCACTGTTCTGGGGCGTTGAGTGCGAGTTGCGGTTTACAGATACCCACCTATATACATATATACTTATGTATGTATGTAGATATGTGTGCCAACACTTCTTGTCATTGAAGTAGTTGTTGATGTTTCTATGTTTAAAATGTAAATCGCTTTTGCACAAATGTCGTCATTGTTCATATTCGTGTCGCTTGAAAAAATCAAATGAATGAGCATTACTCATGGCAGTCGGAAAATAAAAATAAATATGTAATTGTATGTCTTTAAAATGGCATTAATCAGCAGAACCCCTTTTAGCATATCTTTGAAATACCTACTTTATTTTGAAAGTTACAAGCCTTAAAATTAAAGGCATTGTCATCTATTCTAAAAAATAATTGCAGTTTTTGGTTCAACAAATTGTTAGCAACTAGGCAATACATTTAAAAAAGGCCTTATAATTTGATCAAATTTGATAACTTAATACACATAAATAATGAAGGGATATCTACAGAAGGTTTTGGCGTCCTTCCTTCTTTGGTTTTGGAAACAGAAGAGTTCAAACATACATACATGCAGAAAAAGAAACAATCAAGCGCATATGTATAGAAACTGAAAGTTGTTTTCTCTATGTTTTTTACAAAGAATTATTTTGCTTACTTATATCGACTTTGATACAGAGAATCGTTTAAAAGTAGTTCATATTTTGGTTATCATTTAAATATTGTTAAAATATATAAATATTTTCAAAAACAATGCAATTATTTGGCTAAACAAATTATTAACAAACCAAGGAAAAGATGTTTGCATAAACTCTGATATGCAAGCCCGTGAAAGGGAAAGTTAAGAGAAAGAAAGCCTTCACATACCGATTTCGTATATAAATATTTCAAAAGTTTAGACTTTTACTTTGAAATGTTCAATTTTTTGATTATTAAATAAAGAGAATCGTTCGACACCAAAAAAAAAGTGTCATCCGATTTTCTAAACACTAATGAATATATAAATATGCGTTAGCATATTATTCGCTTTGGAATATGGTTCGCCCTTAAAACGGTTCCATTGACTTATTTGGCTTAACCAGACCATAGATCCAGGCGATGTCATGCCCAATAGCGTGAACTAGACTAACGTTTTATGTACAGCCCGATCCCGGGCCCAGGGCCAGCCTGCTCAAGCGTTAAGTCTGAGTTTCTGGTTCACTGAGTTTTCTAGCAGTTACCGCTTTGTGGAGAAAGGGTGCCTTTTAACAATCACAAAAACTTTACTCTTTATACAGAGTTTTCGAAAGGATATCGGTAGATAAATTTACAAAAAAAAAAAACGTAATTTAATTTATAATGTTGAATTTTGTTTTAGACACGAGAAAAGAACATCCGTTAGTTATAAACATGATTTATGCATACAATATATATTTGTCGTTTATGTAGAAACCTACAACAAACACAGACAGACAAACATACATATGTACATACATAACCTTAGGCACACATCAAAGTACGCCAATAAATTAGAACAAAATTTAAATAACTTTTGGTCGTTTTTCTCCGCTAAAATTTTCGGTTGCGCGTTTTTATTTTTAAAATCTGACGTAAATTTTGTGTGAGTTTTTGGTGGTGACAAAAAAAAAAGCAGGCATACAGATGCAAATTAGACTTTATATGTATATGTATGTACACAGCAACAAACGCCACAATGTACATAAATACATACATACATATTTAGGAAACCAGCTAGACATTATTACATTTGGTTATTTGGCCAAGTGCGCAAACTGAGGCAAATGTTAAAAACAAAAAAACACAACACCAGTAGTGGCAACCAACTTGTTGGCCATCGCGCCATCAACAGGTCGTTGTTCTTGTTTTGGTTGGCAACAACTTTCAGCTTTCACTTTTCGTATGCGACAGCATAGCAGCATACATTACATACACACACACACACATGTACAAATATTTATGACGACGGCCTTTTGTTTTAAACAACAATAACAAACCTGTATGCTCACACCTGTATCGCCTTTTTTGTTGCAAATAAAACAACTCACATACATACATACATACATACATACATACATACATACATACATATGTATGTATGTATGTATTTACATACTATGTTTTGTTAACTGTGAAATTGTGCGCTCGCTGACAGAATTCTATTCGTAAAATCATCACACGCAGACGAACATAAACACACACATATGCATGCACCCACGCATGGACACTTGCGCAGCCAGCGTCGCAGCTGCGCTTGCATCTCTACAAATCTGTCACCCACTCGCGCTCGCGCTCGCGCTCTCTCTCTCTCATTCTCTTGCATGTCATGCACTTGAGCTGCGCAGGCATTTGTTTAGTCGTTGTTGTTGCTTTTCTTCACTTCTATCTTCATTTTTCTCACCGCGTATCCAAAAGCGTAACCTAAAAACCTTACTTAATTATTTAACAGTTTACAGGGTATATGAGAATCGTGTTGGTGTATCTTAAGTCGTCTACTCGTTTTTTGTATTGTTTTTTAATTGATATACATTAAAACTTGGATCAGTTTCTGGACTTAACTGTTTTGTCTCAACGCTACATACATACTCATGTACATATTTATGTGCATGTGTATGCAATGGTAGCTGCCAAAATTATTTGCGAATTTTTCTTAGCACCGTGACGGATGTCCAAATAAAGTGACATCATGCCCTCAAACACTCGACTCAATGCACAAATATATGTATGTATGTACATACATACACATATCAATAATCAATTAATAACCAATGCATTGGGTTTGCTGACTCCAACACTTGCACTATTCCAGAATTTGTTTAGTCGAATATGGCGAGATCAACTCTCCTCGCCATGTGAAGAATATATTCACCTTACATACATAGTATGTATGTATGTATATACATGCGTTTGTATGTATAAATGTATATGTATGTATGTATGCATGTGTCGCTATTTCGAACGCTCGCTAATTCGAACAGTGGGGTAAAATCGTTTTCTTTCTAGAAAACCTGAAGTTTTCCATTTCTGTTTCAAAATTTCGAAAACTAAAATTTTTAGTTGGTCTTGTGAAACCTTAAAAAAAGCTTAACACAAAATAGCCCAGTTAAAACCAAAAACTTGCCTAAGGGCCCCCTTTGGATTTTTAATATTTAATGTCGAATGAATAATAAAAGAGGTTGGTTTAAATTCCTAATTTTTCATTAAAGCAGTTGATCGAATTGCAATTCAGTATTATTTAATGAATACTGGGTACACTGGAATTCGAAATCGAAAAAATGAAATGAATTATGCAAATTGTATCCTAACTGATGCCTACTTTTTAGGGATTTATGAATGAAATTGCAAATTATTTGAATATTTTAAAAACATAATATACATATGTACATATTAATTGAAAGGCTGGTTTTTGAATAAACATGCCGAAAGTATTATAAATATTAAATATGGTAAAATTAGTTTGAAAAAACACTATTAAACTAAGCTCGCCCTCGGATCTACTCCTGCGAAAAAGGAAAGGATTTCATTATAAACTAAGGGAGTGATTCATTAAATGTAATTAATTTGTATATTTTCGATTAAATTCCATTTCAGATCTTCGGTATCATTTGTATGGCACTTGCCTCACCGGCGCTCATTCCGGCAACAGACTTTTTCCTGTTTGTTGTTGTTGTATCATTCATTGCGACAATTCTATGGATTTTCGCTTATTTCCTGGGCATTCGAGAGGCGCTTAATGTTGCCGTCAATTGGATATTTACGGTATGTGATAATAATTCGGTTTCCTAACAAATATGCGAAACAGACTCACTAATTGATTGAACTTCCTATAGGAATTGGTCAACACTGGCATACTGACGGTGCTCTATTTCATCGCCTTCGTTGTACAACTGGCTAAGTGGTCTGGCTATCAGGGGTACCATCATGGTACCAATATAGCCGCCGGTGTATTCGGATTGTTTAACTTCTTGGCCTATGCCGCCGGCACATATTTCTTGTACTTGGCGCACAAATCTGGCGCTACGCATTAGTCAGTCCCGCCGCTAAAACAGCCCACCCCACTGCGGAGGAGGCGCGCGATAGCTGAATCAACAACCCAACCAACCACCCACCAAGGCGGCACCACCACCCAGCAAGAAGAAGAATAAGAACTACAGTTATCAACAACACAACAAAGAACCCAAACCTAGAAATTTACTTAAAAATCTGCACCCAAAAGTTATTAATAATTGTTAGAAGTTGAAAGGGAGTTGTTAAGCCGATTAATCAGTTAATGTAATGCTTTGCTTCTCCTCTCCCATTTGATTTCATTTTTTCATTTTTCATCGAAAGTTTGGAAAATGTTTAAAATATGAACAACATTTTTCACGGAATTCGGCACATCTCTAAGGCAATGGAAATGCTAAACCGATTAATCGGTTGATGTAATGCTTTGCTTCAAATTCGAATTTCACTTCCAATCCGCTCTGCAGTTTCAATCGAAATTTTAAGGAATGAATTACAAATGAAATCTAAACACTTAGTGGAATTCGGTACATTTCTAATAATGTAATGGAAATGTTTAGTCGATTTATCAGTTAATGTACGCCTTTCCTCTCGTCTACCATTTGTCAGATATGTTTCGAATTCTGTTTCCAATTTATAACGAAAGTTAATAGAAAAAAAGGAATTACAAATGTTAACACTTCTAGTGGTATTATTATTTTTTTTTTTTTTGAAACAAAGACAGACATACATATTTGTATATTTTTTTTAATTTTATTATTTTTAATTTCGCTCAAAAGACCCGTTTTTTAAACTGAAGAACTGTTAGTTTTGCTCAGCGCGCGCGCCATTCGTTGACTTGATTTGTTTTTAATTTATTTTAATGCTAATTTTTAACGATGCTAACACTTAAGTTGAGAATACAGAACAAACAAACAAAGAATCAAACAAAATGAAAACAAGAACCATAAATGGCCCCAAACAGAACAACAAATAAGTAGAAACGCATTCGTTGCACCCTTTGTTAAAATTGTGAAATTGCTAAATAGCGGTGGCATTTGTTCGCTTCTAACTAGCCTAGAAACCATCAACCGCCCTTCCGCACCATCAATCTTATAAGTGTGTAATACATATTTTCTTTTTTTAAATAAATAAATCAATAAATAATGTTAAATTTTAAAAACAAAGCAAATGATCTTTCTATTGTGTCGATTTGAAGTATAGAAACAGTTTACTACTGCGCTAAATATGTATATTTTGGGTTATATTTATTAATAACAACTATAGAATGATCAGATAAATTATAAAATTTTTTACATCCAAGCCGATGGTTGATTTCTTTCTGTGATGACTCAAAACAGAGTCTCTTCAGAATTTACATATTTATGTAAAGTTACCAAAAACTTATTCCAAAGTTATCTTACGAAGAGCGATTTTTGAACCGTTTAATTCTGTGACGGCTATAAAGGATGAGGCTATATGTGGTTTGTAAAAAGCTTGCTATGCACTTGGTTAAGAGAAGTCTATGTACATATAGAGCTCGGTGTTCCTAGCTGTAATGGTTCAAACAGCGTTCGGCGTTCATACTGTCGAACAAAGCCAACATGTCTAATTGAGTGATTGTTCATCAATGAAATACCAATTATTTTATATCACAAATTATATATATATTTGTTAAATTGTATGTATGTATGTGTGCTTTCAAATAGTTGGACTTGCAACAATTGAGGGAGTGATGTTGATTATTAATATAGGGAATTTTCGGACAGAACAATAAGTGATGGAAACGAAAGTTTGTGCAATAACCAGGAACGTAATAAGAAACCTAATACTGATTGATTTAATGCTGATTCTCGCGATCAGCTGTTGTGGACGGCATGGAACAATAGTATGTATCACCAAAAATGATAATACTGCGATGCGAAGACAGTGACGACTGTACCGAGTGTTAAAAATATTTCTTGAACTCATCGTAGATGGCCAGGACGAGGGCACCACCAGTGCCACGAATAATATTGGAGAGAGCACCCTTGAAGAAGGCACCGATGCCCTCCTGCTTGGCAATCACGAGCCAGCAGTGTGCCGTGTTCTTGTACACCATTTCGGACTTCTTCAAGCCCGATTGCATCATCATGCGACGACGCACTGTATCGAAGGGGTACGAGGCGATGCCGGCCACAGTGGTCACCACCTGGGCAATGGCCCAACTAACATAGAAGGGAGTGCTCTTCGGATTCGGCAAATAGTCGCGACATGTATCGTAGAAACCGAAATAGGCTGCCCGATAAATAATGATGCCCTGCACGGACACTATAAAGCCACGATAGAGACCGATGGGACCATCGGATTTTACCACCTTCATCAGACAGTCGATGAGGCCGTTAAACTCCCGGTTGCCGCCTTTGCCAACATCAGCGGCCAAGCTGGAAGGAAGAAACAAATGTATAATAATACTTGAATCGAATACCGGTCTCTGGACAGACAGACAAGCATAAATTTGCACACAAATTCGTCAAATCTGAATGTCAACAACTTTTTTGTGGTTTCAATTAACGCGGAATGCGAATTCTAGTGCTCTTCATATCAAAGAAATTTGCGTCATTCCACAACAATTTGCACACATTTCTCGTAATTTTAGTTGTATAGAAAATCATTGTGAAATGGAATTTTATAGTAAATTTTGTGATTAACTAAATTCACATTTTCAGATTTTTACGATAGTTGTGTAAATTATTTTATTTCGTACGTGAAATTAAATTACAGTGGAATGGAATTTTACAGCAAATTTGGAAGAAGCTCAAGAAATTCAGCAGCACAACATTTCGATTTCTTTTTTCAATTTGAAGTGAACTGCAATTTTTTGATGAAATGAATTGTGAATTCACAAAATGAACGGAATTCGGAAGAAGCTCAAGAAATTCAACAGCACAACATTTCGATTTCTTTTTTCAATTTGAAGTGAACTGCAATTTTTTGATGAAATGAATTGTGAATTCACAAAATGAACGGAATTCGGAAGAAGCTCAAGAAATTCAGCAGCACAACATTTCGATTTCTTTTTTCAGTTTGAAGTGAACTGAAATTTTTTGATGAAATGAATTGTGAATTCACAAAATGAACGGAATTTGGAAGAAGTTCAAGAAATTCAGCAGCACAACATATCGATTTCTTTTTTTTTTTAGTTTGAAGTGAACTGAATTGTGAGTTCACAAAATGAACGGAATTTATTTCGCCTTTTAGGATATTTTCCTTCTCAACTTAACTTGTACATTTTTTTGTGAGAATTTCAGTAAAGTAGTGAATTATGTGAAATCGAGCACAACACAGCGTTCTTATACAGAGTTAGGGTTTTCAATGAAAAATTTGACGAATTGGCGGGCAAATTATTTGCCTGTCTGACTACTCAGTAAAATGCACTCACCGAGTACGCGCAAAGTCCAGTGGATAGACAAAACATAAAGATGTGGCACCAGCTGCGCCCCCAGATGCCAAGTTGCCCATAAAGTGACGCCAGAACTGAGTCTTCTTGTCCACACCACCAAGGAACACCTAAAGTTTGGACGCACAAAATGTTAAAGTAGTGTTAAAGTCTCCTATTTGTCCTCCACTTACCGTCTTGTAGACGTCCTTGAAGGCGAAATTAAGTGCCTGAGTGGGAAAATAACGAATGACGTTGGCCAAATTGCCACGCCAAAACGAATTAAAGCCCTGTTCTTTGGGTATGCGAACGAAGCAGTCAACAATGCCTTTGTAGCGCTGATCCTGTGATATCTGCTTTGAGACCTCCTGCACTTGTAAAATGAGCTTAACACGCTCTATGGGCGCCACAGCTGTCTTTGCAATCGCAGCCGACACGCCACCCATCATAAAGTCCATTAGGAAGGACTTCATGTCGCCCTTGCCGCCATGACCTCCGCCTTCTTCACCCATGCTGCTGCTTACTGTGTTGATTCTTGTTCTTTTTTATTTGTTTGTTGGTTTTTAGTTATTTTTGTTACCCGGGAAGGGAAAAAAGAGAGGGGGGAAACTTTCAATTTGGTACGAAAATCGAAAGTATTTAATTATATTTTTTGAATGAAAAGCAAACTTATACTGACACCAGTTGCTCTGATTTCAACTTCAAAGCCAACTATAGGTTCACAACTCTTTTCATCTCTGAAAAACTTAAATATTTTTTTTAACTTCGAACTTAACTGCTGACTATCATCAGCAGGAGCCCGAACCTCGAATCAAATGTGTTCGTTACCCAACTTCAAAGAAGACCTTTCGAAGTTGTATCAGGAGCCGAACCACTGACCCAAATATCGCAAATTCCTGGGTGAAATATCTTATGAAATTCAGTTTATAAGTAGATGTGAACAATCAGTTATCAGGAGCCTAGCCACTGACCAAATTATTACGAATTTTGTAAGCTCAAAAAAACCGAAAAAAAAGTGCGAGTAAATCTTCTGCACTTCTGTATAGAGCAGAGAAGTACGGAAACGTCAGTAGAAACAGTAATTGGATACAAATTTTAAGAAGAAACCCCCATCAATAAGTGGGTACACAAAACTGGTTTATTCCAATCAAAGGAAGAAAGCTTCGCCTTCCTCTCTTCTTCTGGATGATACCATATTGATCAAATTTGGTTTTTGACTTTGCAAATCCTTTGGCAATACACGTTTTTTTCATTTTTTGCTTTTTCCCCTAATTCGACCACGGTACAGTCAATACACAATCCCAAAGTTACAAAAACAAAACTTTGTATACCTAGATAATTCGAATGTTTTAAATTTCATTGAAATATGTTTAGTAAATATGCACCTAAATTTGCAATAAAATTAAGGTCTGGAAACTGAGCTGACGGAGACACCAAGTGGGGCCCCTTTGGTTTGGGGTCATTATTTAAGTTCTTAATAGAAGTTAACATTTCCGGTGCTAAGCCAAGACTCCATTTACTTTTCAACATTGAATGCAAGTTTCGGAACTGAAAGTATTTGTTGAGTTCGGGACTTGCTGTGCTCATTATCCCCCCGATTTGCCTAAAAAAACAATACGCCCAATAATTTTTTGCCCCACAAACAGGCATTTAGAAGCTTTCAGTCAAAAAAAAAACTTAGACATTCAATTCATCATACTATGTTGCGTCCCTGCAATTATGGATAGGGGTAGCCCCTAACTATACTACTCCTTACCAACCAACTTATCTTTCCTTTCGTATGCAAAGGCAACAAACGCGTGCCATCTCTCTCAAATCCATGTTATACTCTGACGGCCAAAAAGAAAGAGAAAAAAAAATTGCCGAAGATAACCTTCTTCGCCTTTTTAATATAAGTAAGTATTTTAGGAAGTGCTTCTGTAACTCTAAAATTGCCAATTCAAAGCTTAAGTCTATGCTTTATTTCTTCTATTATTAATTTAAACTTTTGTAAAATTTAATTCTTTATTTTATTTAAGGTGCTTTTTTATTATTTATTATTTCTTTCTATAAATGGTTTTCTTTTTGTTTTATAATTCAATTTACGACCTATATTTTTTTAAAATAATTTATATATATTTTATTTTTGTAATTTATTTCATATTTGTAATTGTGAAAAAATTTTGATTTATGGCCAAAGCCGTAACAAGATTAAATGACGATTCCCCAATGAATTGCAGACAAAGCTAAGGAAAAATCAGTAATAAAGGAGAGTGGGCGGTGCATCGGGAAAAGAAACACAAAAACTCGATCTGATAAATAATTTGGGGGAATATGGGCACAAAGTTTGGTTATAATATTCTGATATCTCTGCGAACACAGAGATGGCTGTTGATATATCGTCATACTGATAGATAAATAAATAAGTATACTTTGTGGGGCCTTCTGCCACGCCTCCTTCTGTGTGAGGCATATATTCACACTAAACTAGCGTACCCTGTGGGTTCAGCTATAAAACAGACTTCCGAGCCCCCATCTTTTGTATTTTGCAAAGCAATTTGGATGAGAAAACCATTTTGGGGCAGTGCAATGAAAACACAATTTTTTTTTTTTTTTACTATTTTTATCAATTTTTAACCAACCGCAGTTGAGTTTTATTTATCAGGGTGAACATGTAGTACTAATCGATTCTGTGTATTTGCCCTTTCAACGCTATCCATTGGATTGTCGTTGTCCAATATGTGTATTTATCGTCGTTCCATCCAGCACACAACATCCATTAATACTTCTTCTTCGGAAAGCAGAGGTCCAAGTTCTTTTTGCTGTTGGGTTAAGTTTTGGCATAGTGTTGTCGTAATAGTTGTTGTTGTTCTTGATGCTATCTGGCCAGTGTTTGTTTTTCAAATTGCCCATACTGCTGCTTACTTTGCAATTACAATTAAATTATGCTCCTGTTTTCATATACATATATATGCACATATATATATATATAATAATAATATAATTCCATATTTTTTATATTGGGTTATTGTTGACGTTGTTATTCAAACATTTGTTGTTGTTGATTTCTAATATAATTAGCTGGTAGTGTTTTGTTGTTGTTTGTTTTGAATAATTTAATAAATTAATTTACAAGACCTTCTTGATTTCATCGTACAACACAAGCACGAAAGCACCGCCAGTACCTCTGAGAACGTTGGAGAAGGCGCCCTTGAAGAAGGCACCAGTACCTTCCTGCTTGGCGATGGTGGCCCAGCAGTGCACTGTGTTCTTATAGATGATTTCGGTGGCTTTGCGGCCAGACTGCATCATCATGCGACGACGAACAGTATCGAATGGATAGGACACAATACCAGCGACAGTTGTAACAACCTGAGCAATGGCCCAGCTGATGTAGATGGGTGTGTTCTTGGGATCGGGCAACATGCCGCGGGCGGTATCATAGAAGCCGAAGTATGCAGCACGGTAGATGATGATACCCTGCACGGAGACACCGAAACCACGGTACAAACCAACGAGGCCGTCACTCTTGAAGATTTTAGTCAGACAGTTGCCCAGACCGGTGAATTCACGTTGGCCACCCTTGCCAGTATCAGCAGCCAAGCTAAAAAATGCGAGTATATGTATTGAAATATGTTATATTTTGATTGCCCAGCCATAAACTTACCGAGTACGAGCAAAGTCCAATGGGTAGACAAAGCACAGAGAGGTAGCACCGGCAGCGCCACCAGAGGCCAAGTTACCCATGAAGTAACGCCAGAACTGGGTGTTCTTATCAACACCACCCAAGAAAACCTACAAATTCAAATGTAAATGAGCAAAAATTCTAACGAACATTTAATTCTACTTTGTCTGTATGAATGAAGACTTACTTGCTTGTACTTATCCTTGAAGGCGAAGTTCAAAGCCTGAGTTGGGAAATATCTAATAACGTTGGCCAGGTTACCACGCCAGTATGAAGCAAAACCTTGTTCTCTTGGAATGCGGACAAAGCAATCAACCATACCCTTGTATTGCTTATCGGGGCTGATTTGTTTCGAGATGTGCTGAACCTGCAGCAGCAGTTTCACACGCTCGATGGGTGCGACGGCAGTCTTTGAGACAGCTGCGGAGATACCACCGGCAGCGAAGTCCTTGACGAATCCCATAGCATCGAAATCTTTGCCCATTTTGCTGTAAACACACACATATGCGACAAATGCCGATATTAAATATATTTCTTTCCGCCAACGCCATCGTCATGATTGGTTGCATTCATCATGGGTTTTTTTCTTTTCTTTTTCGTTGTGTTTTCTACTGCTGATTGTTGATTGATGTTGATTGAGTATGACATGATTTATGGCATGCAATTGCAGTTTTGACTTGATTTCTGCGATTCGCAATGAGTACATTCCCAGTAATCGATGAGTGTTCTTGAGTTGTTATCGACAGTTATGATATCCTCCGATATATTCAAATTCACTTTTACATAAATTACAGTTAGAAATAATAGCCAACACCACTAGTGCACGAAGCAAATGAAAATACGTATGTAATATGTATAAAATGAATGAACATGCAAATCACCACTATGATAAATAAAAAATTGCACATTTGAACAGCACAGATTTATCGCTGCAAAAGCAATCGATTGTGTTGCAGTCAAAATGTCATGCGTTAATCGATTGCTCAAGTGAAAGCAAAAATAATAAACAAAATTTAAAAAATAATAATACGCACATTAACAATATAAAATGAAAATACTTATACACTATAAATAAATTATAAATATGTACATTGTTTACATATACTCGTACATGTATGACTGCGTAATTCTTAATTAAAACCGGCTTCGGTCCGCCGGCATTGCAAATGAGAGGGTTATTTTCCAATAGCGGGCTTAATCGCAGCTCAAACTGGTTAGTAACTACTTAAATAAACATTTAGAGTGGAAACACCGATTGACACATTTTGAAGTGGAAATTATATTGTTACATTTTGTTTATACCTTTTAATTTTTTGTGATTACTACCAAAAAAGAAAGCAATGTTAGTAGAGAGAGACCAAAAATCCGGCAGCAGTACATTAAATATACAACTACATTCATACATGTATGATGATGTCGGAGAGCCACCCGCAGACGATGGATGAGTGCAAAAAACCCGTTACGTGGCAAAAAGTTATTTACAATTGTTGTAAAACTTAGCCTATGCTATGTACTAGTATATGTTTGTATGTGCACATGTAGTTCTGCTTATGTGCATTTGTATTGTATGATTATCTCATTTTTGTTGTTGTTCGTTTAGTGAAATTTGTAAAGCTCTGACAATTCACAATTATGCAATAATTTGTTTGTGTAATACATGCATTTCGCCTGGTCTTTCACTTTCCCAATTAAAACCGTTTCAATGTCAGACAATAAGTAAAATCATCAGCAACACCGTTATATAGTAGATACATATGTATGTAAAACAAAGCGTCACATTTAAATGCCAATTGGAGTAAATGAGATGGCTAGTCACCATCAGTATAATTCTCGGCGGCAGATGACTGCCAAATTGAGAAGCATTTCGTTTCAATTCTTATTGTTAAATTTAGAATTCAATCGAAAATTTGCTCATACATTTGTATGATTTTTTTTTTTACATAACAGTGCAAGAGCGAATTCATGCTATGAGAGCCAAGGCGAAAAAGAGAGTAGGTGCGAGCACATGACCCTGCCGCTGTTGTGGGTCTGTGTGGGTGGCTATGCTCTGCTATGAAAACAGCCGTAACAGTTCTTTTAGTCTGTTATCTAATCGCACGGGGATTTCGTGTTGCTTTTTATCTCAGATGAAAAAAGAGCACGCGCGCCCGTGACGTAACACTAGCACTATTGTCTTGGATATGTTCGCTCAGCTGACTAATTTGATAAAAAAAAAAATTAAAATAAATAGTGTTGGGTAGTTGCACGTGGCTCCGAAACTATTTATTGAAATTAGCACTCTGATAAGTTGCTGGCTTGGCTTTTGTTATTATCGATTGCATAACCAATTAGCTTTAAATAAACAAGCCAAAAAAAAATGTAGTTTTATCTCTTCTTCGTTTTTAATTGTATTCACAATTTGCATTTTGTGTTGCCAAAAGCTTGCGTTTATGTAAGAATATTAAACAAATTTCCCAATTCCAGAACACCGCCGTTACGTTGAACAAGAAAAAATAATAGCTTAAATCAAATGAAGAAATGAATAAGCCAAATCACACGCGCTTTGCTTCCACAATTATTATTATGCAGACACTTAATGCTGTATGTTGTTTGTACTGATCGTGAAACTAATTTACGCAATCCATTCGCAATACGTACTATTTGTTTGTGTTTTATATCACAGCACAAAACCGAAAAAAAAATTGATTTATCCTTATTCCTTTCAAAAACAAAGGTCTGCACCGGACGGCAATTCAATTGCTTGTGAACGGCTCAAACAGCAAAAGCGCCGAGCAAGCCTGTCGCGGCAGTCGACGGCAGCTGCGACGCCGGCGCCCGCCTCAAGTTCATACATATATGCATATATACTTGTATTTGCTCTCATTCACGAGCAACAGTTGAGATTGAGAGTGGCGCTCACTGTCCTAACGGTAAGAAAGAGGTTGGCGGCAAATACAGTTGTTGCCAACAGAAATTTTGGAGTATGGCGTTTACACTTAACACGTGTGCACATACACACACAAACACACAAGAAACATACGCACCGATCGCGAGAAACTGCTACGTTATCAGCTGGTAGAATACATTCATAGATATACAAATGTATATACATGTGTATGTACATTTTTCAATGCCAGACTCATTGCATAACAATTTCTGCCAAGTGATAAGAGTTCAGACAAAGATTGAGGGCTGTGTCGGGGCACAAAAAGAAAAAAGGGGTAAACTTCGGCGCTACTACTATGAAAAGGAAATTCGCAGATATAAAACTTTTAAATATGGTTGATATGTTGACATATGCCTGTATGTAAATATATGTATACAAAATGTACAAGTAATTGTTTTTCATTTACCCCGTTCGAGGTTTTTTTATCTGTGATCTTTGAGAAATACTTGCCAAAAATTTTGTTTGTACTCAGCAGCAACGCACTTAATATTTGTATATGTACATATCTGTATATACTTATATGTGCGTAGCACACAATGACATCTTTATGCAAAGTATGTATGTGAGTGTGTATGTATATACGTATTAAGTTGGCAATGCGCCGAAGGCGTCATAGATGCCGCAGTCGACGTCAGCGTCGACGTTCATAAGTCACATGCCAGCCAACTTGTGCGAAGTTTGACGCCCACCGCTCTCGCGAAAGCTAGTTTTATTCACCAGTTCTCTCTCTCTCTCTCTCTTCCTAATTGACTTGCTCAGTGTTGCCAGCTAAGCCAGTACTACTTTATCGCCATCATTGCAGATTGCGGGAAAATTGTAAAATTACATTCTAACAAAGCCGTTTAGCTTGAAATATTGGAATGGAACCGAATTTTCTACTCTCAATGAAATGGAAGAACTTTCAAAGTTCAAGAATGATGCTAATAATAAATACGTTTTTACCACCATTATCATTTATTTAACTTGTCTAGCTCGCAAAGGCCAGATTTATTTAACATTTTTCTCAGTAGTTTTTTTTTTATTTTACATGCGGAAGAGACCAAAGGCCTCCAAAAATGCGTGCAGCGATTAGATAAAGTAGCATTATATTTTATGTAATACGGTGACGCCGTTCGCTTTACGGTTTTTTAAAACAAGACAACACCGGTGTGGTAATTACATAAAGACCAGAAAAGCAAAAACGGCCAAAACTAATGCCACGATCAAACGCAGTCGAGCAGCAGTTGGCACCGTGCCACAATGTCATGCACGGAGTTGCGCTGCAAAGTCAATTGCATCTAATTTTAAACTCACTCTAAATGAGGCCAAGAGCTGTGGCAGAAGTAAATCAGTTTAATAGGTTAAAAAGTGTGCCCGCGAAAGCCGGCAGTTTTTTTTTTTTTTTTTTGCGCACATAAGTATAAATGCGGGTTTTTTGTGTGTGAGTATGAATCGGCCGTTGCTATGCCATGTCGGCACAAAAATTGATCGCATTAACAGAAAACATTTCTGGCTATCAGGCATATCAGATATAATAATCATTTTAACGAGCTTATCGGTTTTGTTTATTCTATGGATACGATTTCAATGAGTAACTAAACAAAAGGGGATAATATTGCAATTGATTTGCTTATCCGAGGCATATAATTTCAGTTGACAATGGAGGGAAAAGATAAAGTACTGAAGAGGTGGTTGCTAACCGATCCAGTTAATGAAATTCAAACCCATAGACAGACAGTAGACAACAACATATACAATCGAGTCGAGTCTCAGAGACGCACGCGCCCGACTCTTATGTATACCCTGTAGCCGGTTCAGAAATATCAATATTTAAATTATTTAATAGTAAAATGCTTATAAACATTTTGTTTGCAGTTTACACTTAAATACACAACAACAGTGCATGGACAGGCTAAAAACTAGAGTTGCGCTATTTAGAAAAACTTGACTATGATTAAAAAGAAACGACTTTTGAAAGTAATCAGTAATACATAAAATCGTCATTTTCTACCAAGTTTTGTGGATCTACTTCTTCCACTTTAGGATTTCGGACTTAATTTGAACTCTTTAATTATGCTGATTAAGAAGATATATACTTTGGGGGGGGGGGGGGGGGGTTCTGTTGGTTGTTACAAAATAAAAGCGATTTCATAATACCCTTCTTGATGGCTATCTACTTACATTTTAAATATACATGCATACTAAATACATACATAGACGAGCAAAACGCCGCAAAAGGCCAGGTAAAAGGGCAAAATATAAATACATACATATACATGTATATATGTACACGTTAAAACCCCACGATGCTACTGCTGACGTCACATCAGCGGCAGCAGAACCAGTTTTGTTAGGCCATGTAGACCGAAGAAGAAAGCAGGTAGAAGCAGCAAATATTGTGCTGGTATTTCAATTACAAAACCAATTTTTAAAAACGATGGCTTAAAAGTTGGACAAAAGGTGGTAAAAGAAATTGCAAAAACAGGCTGGCAAAATGTCCAAAACACACGAACAGAGAATCAGACAAACGGCAGACAAGGCTGCGCGTGTTAATGGCCGGCCACACATCCACACATATACGTATATACAAATACGAGAGAATGAGAAAGCGCAAAGAGCACATGGAATTGTAATACGGCGAATGTGTGAGTTTATGTCTGTCTGTATGAATGTAACAGCTTTTATAACAAGCAATTGTTCTCACAGTATTTGTCCATAGGAATAAAATAATAAATGTATATTTCAATTAAGTTTAATGGAAGCAACAGAATCTTAACTGGAAGAGCAGCCGTGAACAGCTTGCGATAAATTACCGCCGTTGTGCCTTACATGTGAGCGTATGGCTGGCTATGTGTGTGTGTGTGTGCCAACATGCTTGTGTGGCACCGTTTCTTGCTTACTTTTCACTTTTTGTGCAAAAATTTCTAGGTTAGAACTCGTGTGCGCGTTTCAGAGAAAAATGCATTGCAAGGGTACAATAGCTAAAAGGAGGACACAGGTCTACATTGAGACTTTTATAGCCGCTGACTAATTCTTTTTGTATGCGCATCCACACGGTGCAATTGATTTGCAAATTCTATTCTTCCTTTTTTGTGGTTATGTAAGACCGTTGTGGGCAGCTCTTTTTAAAATGTCGCGTTTAAGTGCAATCAATAAAATCAACAATAAAAAACAGACTTGATAACGCACTTACACATTACAAACTTTAGTTCATACATATGTATATAATTGCAATTTCTTTCCCAACACAAAGCAAAAAATTAGCACATTACATAACTAAAATCTAGTGCAAGGTGAACATGAAAAAAAAATCAATGACAATATGAATTCGTAATCAGCACTAAAAATTTCACAGACTGCAATAGCGCACAGTAATTGAGTTTATAAAAAATATTTGAAAAAATATCACAATACCTTCAGTTATTAAACTTCTTACAAAAGTCACAGAATAAAAACTTCTTTTGCAGAATTAAAATTTCCCACTAGGCGTTGAGTTAGCCGCGTGCTCACTTGACGAACGCGATTCGTGAAGTGGTCGGATATAGACATGCACAAAAATTACATCGATATGTCTGACACATCTACTGCCACACAATTTATCGATCATTTGCAATGCGACTATGATATCTTTGATTTAAAGAAAATTACATTTCAACAATCTCTACAGTATATTGTATACAAAATTGTCTGTTTATGTTAATGTAGATTTAGAAAAGATAATGCCATTAGCTAGGCCTGCGACATGCCATAAAATTCGAAGTACTAATCGAATAGTATTGAAACGTAGTAAGCTACAATATCTACAATCTCTAATTCAAAACACTGTCGCTTTTAAGTTATCGAATACTGTAATGTCGATAACTGAATGTAGTAGGGACGTCTGAAGAAAAACGTGAGTGCGCCTGCAAAAACGTAAAACAACTTTTTTTTTTTTTATTTTTAACATAATTCTACATTTGTGGCGGCTTTGCAGGGTTACATTGCAAGCATGACTGGACGTGAAGGAGGGAAGAAGAAGCCATTGAAGGCGCCAAAGAAAGACTCCAAGGAGCTCGACGACGACGACATGGCTTTCAAGCAAAAACAAAAGGAACAGCAAAAGTTGCTGGAGGCAGCTAAGCAGAATGCTGCTAAGAAGGGTCCACTCGTCGGCGGTGGCATTAAAAAGTCGGGCAAGAAATAAGAGTTGTTAGCACCAACTCGTAGATCGACTAATTTCTTTTTGCTCGCATTTATGCCGTGTATATTTTTAGATTCTTATATGCCAACACACACACACACATACATACAATTATAAAATTTTCGTTTTTGTACAATGACCACAAATTAGTCGTTTAGCATTAAAACATATAATTAAACTAAACATTCATACTTCAATGTTTTATAATCTGCTGGAGTGAGGGAGTTCCAACCTACAGTTGGCCTTTAAGTGCTTTAAAAGTCTTGCAATTAAAATGCAATTTTATTGCCAGTCTTGGTTCGGCTAGTTAAATTTATAAACAATAATTTAAACTGTTACTTTTGTATATTTGTTTCCTATCTAGATCTGCTAGCCCTTGGTGTGCTGTTCTTTTTATTCTTTTCAGTAGTTGGTGCGCTGTTACGGCTCCCCTTTTGTTTTCCAGCTGAGGCTGTGCTGTTCCTTATACTGTTCCGTGGAGTGGTGTTGCTCTTATTTTGTTCGACGGGTTTTGTAACGCTCTGTCGCGGCGTAGTTGGTTTCGGCGGATCAGCGGGCTTCGCTTCGCTCTCCGGTTTCGTTTCGGCGGGCTTCGCTTCGCTCTCCGGCTGCGTTTCGGCGGGCTTCACCTCTTCAGACTTTACCTCCGCCTCCGGGGGTGCAGCAGGAGCAGGATCAGCAGCGGTGGCGGCGGCAGCAGCTTCAACAACAGGAGCAGCAGCAGCACCTTTCTCCTCGCCTTCATTCGCATTTGGCGGTGGCTCTTCTGCTGTCTCCGGTACTTCAAAGAACTCGGGGCGCTCCATGCATAAGTTATTGTGTGCCTTCTCCTCGCCTGGAAAGCTCGGCTGTGTGCCGCGATGCTGAATGGAGTGGGCGGCGACTGAGTTTGCCGCATAAATGTGACGTTCCCTTGGCAGATTCGGGAAGCGGGCCAAATGATAGGCCAGCGCGCCTATAAAAGCATCGCCCGCCCCTGAAGTGTCCACCACATGATCGACTGGCTCCGCAGGCACATGCAGGCAGCGCTCCTTGTTATCCTTGGACATATAGACCGCACCTTGGGCACCCAATGTTATGATCACACTATTGGCGCCCTTATCGATCAGGTCGATGGCCGCAGCTCTCGCATCTTGAAGGGTCTTGATTTCGTCGCGATCTGTTAGCTGTGCCGCTTCCACCTCGTTCACGCAAAAAATGGACGGAGAGCTGAATATTTCGGGCGGCATTTCTTTCAGCACCGGCGCCGCATTGACTATGGAGATGCCCTTGAAGAGGCGCAGAGCACAGAGCGTCGCATTCACGTTCGTCTCCAGCTGGCAGAGCAACACCTTTGAATTCTGAATTAATTTTTTCGCCCGGGTAATGGCCTTGCCATCCATACAGGCGTTTGCACCGGCCACAATGATTATATTGTTCTCACCATCATCAGACACGGCGATTTGTGCGAGGCCAGTGGGCTGATCCTTTATCTGTTCCACATGTTCGACTATAATGCCATTCTTATCCAAATACGTCAAATAATCATCGCCCGTCGCATCTTGCCCCACCTTGGCTACTAGAGCAGTCTTCGCACCCAGCTTGGCCGCCGCCAGGCACTGGTTGGCACCCTTCCCCCCGAAACAGGTCTCGAAATGAGTTCCGGCAACCGTTTCCCCTGGCCGGGGCAGGTTTGGCACGTAGCTGCAATGCAATTGGTTGGGAATTTGCGATGATAAAGGACTCCAGACACTTACGTGATGTAATCAACGTTCGCCGAGCCTATAACGATCACATCCGCCCACTTAGCCATTGCTGGAGTGTGAAAATAATTTGTAAACCGGAATCTGGAATCTGTATTTTCAAAACTACATATTTTTTCTTTAAATTATAAATCATTTGCTTGAAATTAAAAACGAATATTCATTTCTTATTGTCATCTGGATTACGGATGTTTGGTGAATTGTGTTCCCCTGTCCGAATTCCCGCGGCGAAATTTTACCATTGTGAATGCTATTTAATTGATGGTATAATGGGAAAAATTATTTATCTGCATTTGAGACGAAAATTCACTAAAAATAGTTGGGATTCTAGAGATTCTATGGCAATATTTCCAACAACTTTTTGTGCTGGCACATTTGGAATCGGGTTACCTAATGACATGGTGGGTCTAGTAATTAGGGAATTGTATGTTTTGACTCAGTAAGTGGAATTTTGAAGTTAAATTACCTTTAAAAAGAAATCGCAATTAAGCCCAAAAAGTAACAAACAATGAAAGAAACTACTGCAGAGTTAATAAAAAAGGGCTTAAATAAATAAAAAAAATTTTTATTATATATGCAGGAAATTGAAATTGGAGTGTTTTGTAATTTTGGCGCAAAAAAACTTAAGCCTTATCCCAAAACAACATGCAATTAATCCCTTTTTTGGGGAAATTACCACGGAATTTGTTGGAAAACAAATAAATGTTATGCAAAAGGCTTAAATTTTTAAGTATTTCGTTAAAATAGCAGAACTATTAATAAATAAAATATAGAAAATATTTTATGATTGAACACAAAATAGTGCATTATTTTTACTTTTTATATACCAAGAGAGCAAAAAAGCACAAATCAATTAACAATGAGATTTTCTTTGTATGTAAAACTCGATGGACTAGACGTCAAAGCTTATGTTGCTTTGTAGTTTTTTGAAGACGCAGACAAAGAGTATAATAAAATTTCCAAATATTGTAAATTGTTTCATTCTTTAATTTTATACATTTAATAACATTTAATAGAGTTTCCAAATTCGTTGTTTTCAAAGCTCGCCACTTTCATATCTTTCCAAAGTTCATATCAATTTTTTTGAACGATCGACTTTAGTCTTAGTACCGTTAGCAAGATAACAAAAAGAAAAGTTGTAAGTTCTGTACTAAGTACCCAAAAGCGTTTTATTATTAGTTTTATTTATTTTGTTGCGCTTTTAAGTGCGTAACTTTAACGACATTTGCCAGACCTTTACAATTTGTTTTAAGAAAAGCTGCATCTGCATGCAATAAGCAATTGGGCCGTTCAATATGTAGAGTTTCTAGGCATAGGGAAAGCTCGCCTGGGTACCTGGCAGCTGTACGGATTTTGAAGCAACGGCACAGGCGGCTGCAATATGCGCTGTAAGGGCATGTTCCGGAAACCGTGCCAAATTGTGCGCCAAAGCACCGATAAATGCATCGCCAGCGCCTGTTGTGTCCACCACTTTATCCACAACTGGTGCCGGCACGTGTTCGCAAAGAGTTGGACTCTTTCTTGTGGCGCACACAGCTCCTAGTTTTCCGAGCGTTATTATCACCGTATTGGCGCCTAATTCGATGAGACGACTGACGGCCGTCTTGGCCTCACTGCAGAGTGAAAAGAAATGGTAGGGATATAAATACTCATTTATATTTACTTTCTCACCACACACTGCTGATTTCGGCGACACCCGTCATTAAGGCAGCCTCACTTTCATTGACACAAAGAATGCTGGCCAGTTGGAGCAGCTCTGGAGGCGTTTGTTCCAATGCTGGAGCAGCATTCACTATGGATGTGCCCTTGCAAAGGCGTAGGGCAGCAAGTGTGGCCGCTAAGGGCGTCTCCAGCTGACAAACGAGGACCTTTGCTTGAGCCAGTAGGGGTTGGGCGCGTGTGGCATCATCGGCACTTAGGGAATTATTGGCGCCAACCACAATAATAATATTATTTTCACCACCATCTGACACTGCTATTTGCGCCACACCAGTGGTCTGGCCCGATAGCTGATCCACGTGCTGGACATTGATGCCTTCGGCTCGCAATTGACGCAGATAGTCGGCACCAAAGCTATCATCGCCTAGTTTGGCCACCAAAGCAGCCTTGGAACCCAGTCTGGCGGCCGCTACACATTGGTTGGCACCCTTGCCGCCATAACCGGTCTGAAAGTTATGACCGTGCAGGGTTTCACCCGCCTTCGGTAGGCGTGGTGTATAGCTTTAACAGTGAAGGATAGAATTAGTTGGCACTGGTGGAGGACGGTGCTAGGTTACTTACCAAACGAAATCTATTATGGCCGAGCCGAAAACCAAAACATCGATTCCACCGCTGTCACCACTATCATTGCCCATTTTACAAATGTTCCGGTTAGCTAAGTTATTGGCAAATTTGTAGTTAAATGTTTTTGCAACAGTGCGCTTATCTTTGGCAAGTGTTTCAGCTTAAATGATCTGCGATATTGCAGCTTATCAATGTTTTCATTCATTTTTCCCTCAACGCCCTGCTAGGAAATACTCCAGCTTCTGGGTTATTTATAATAAGTGTGTATGTATGTACCTGTACGTGTGCCATTGTATACATATATATATAATTATGTAAATATATACATATTTAAAGTTGTGTGTAAGTTGCATTTTAATTTTGCTCAGTCTGGCAGCACTACAATTAACAACGGCTTCTTAGCGATGTGCAAAAATGGATGAGAGGAATAGCGCATATGTATATATTTAGAGTTGTGTGACTGTTGCATTTTAACTTTAACTCGTTTGGGAACACTAACGCACAAATTTATTTGCGAATTGAGTAAAAGCTTTTTGCTGTTGCGTCCAAAATTTTGTCCATCTGGGACCATAACCTCATTAGCGATGTGCGAAAAGTCGGTGTAACTTTCGATACCAGGCATCGATGTTTGAATTCGTACTTGCATTTGTACATCACCGCAAAATATAAACAATTTACTTCATATTGCACTTTACAGTCTCGAAAACATGATTAAGTGGAACAACATCAATAAACTAGCGCAAAATATGGTCGGTAAGTACTCACATACACATTGTCATACTTATATGTAAATGTAATCGCAAATTGATTGAATTTGAACAAAGTTCAAAGTCCGAATAAAGTGTTATTACAATTAGTCAACTATATTTACAGCCGCAAGGATGACAATGCAGGTGCAACGCCACAACAGCAGTGCAGAGATGTTGCCCCAACGATCGGATGATGTTAGCCACTTCAAAACACTGGCCGTTACCACACCGAAGCCCTTCGTTTTTCACGTCGAGCTGCATCGACCCAATAAACTGAATGCAATTAACAAGCAAATGTGGCTGTAAGTTGCGCTGCACAATGCTGGCTTATTAACATACTCCTAGCTATGTGTGTACACTTTTCACAGCGAGATAAAAGACTGTTTTGAACGGCTGGGCACCAATCCCGATTGCCGGGCCATCGTCATCTCAGCTGCCGGCAAACATTTCACCGCCGGCATTGATCTTAGCGATATGATGAAGCTGGGCCAGGAACTGGCTGATGTGGAGGATGTGGCCCGCAAGGGTGTTGTGCTTGACCGCCTCATTAAGCTCTATCAGGACTCTTTAAGCGCTCTGGAGCATTGCCCTAAGCCTGTGATAACGGCGGTACATCAGGCGTGCATTGGAGCTGGTGTGGATCTGATTACCGCCTCCGACATACGCTTGTGCACACAGGATGCCTTCTTTCAGGTGAAGGAGGTAGACATTGGTATGGCGGCTGATGTGGGCACTCTCCAGCGGCTACCAAAGGCCATCGGTAGTCAATCATTGGCTCGCGAACTCTGCTACACGGGTCGGCGCTTTGAGGCCGCCGAGGCTGAGCATTGCGGCCTGGTAAGTCGCGTCTTTCCCGATAAGGAGTCGCTCCTCAGTGGTGCTCTAGCATTGGCCGAAAACATTGCCGGCAAAAGTCCAATCGCCGTGCAAACCACGAAAATAAATATGGTTTATTCCTTGGAGCACACCAATCAGGAGGGTCTCGATCACATTGTAAGTCATTGCTCTTTTGATATTATTTGATCCCATTTACTTTCAGGAGAGTCATTATCATTATAGGTAGCTTAATAAGGGTAAACAAGATAGAACGCTACAGTCGAGCAAGCCCGACAGTAAAATAGCCTGTACTCTCCACAAAAAAGAAAAATTAAAAAAAAAAAATTTAAAAAAAAAATTAAATTATTAAAAAAAATTAATGAATTAATTAATTAAATTAAATTAGAATATATGTTTATGTTTAGTTTTAACAGCATACATTTACATCACGTACCTATGCGTGTTTATATGCGTGTATGTATGCAGCACAAAGTTGAACCAAAGCAGCAACAACAACAGCTGCGGGCAGCGCTGCCGACAGAGGCAGCGCATGAGCAGCGATTTTACTTATGGCTATAACTTTCTTCAGAATTGACCTATCATGATGAAATTTGGCACACGGACACATTAGTACTAACTGGATGTACATACCAAAATTGATTTCAAAATTCTGAGAATTACGGAGGTTATAAGAAAAAACACGAATTGCGGGGGAGTGGGGGGGTGCATCGAAAAAAAACTCAAACTCGTACTTTCTCGGTCTTAGGAGAATATGGAAACCAAGTTTGGTTATTCTAGCTCTTATACTTTCTGAGATCCTTGCGTTCATACGGACAGACGGACAGACGGACAGACGGACAGACGGACAGACAGACGGACAGACGGACGGACGGACGGACAAGGCTATATCGACTCGGCTTCTCATCCTGATCAAGAATATATATACTTTGTGGGGTCTGCCACGCCTCCTTCTGTGTGTTACATACATGCGCACAAAACTAGTATAGCCTTTCACCCTTTGGGTACAGGCTATAAAAATAACCATCAATATTATATTTAATCGGAAGACGCTGTTTCCCATACTTTCTTGTTAAAAGAAATGGTCATGGTCCGTCAATCCACCTTAACGTGTCAAATTATGAATAACTACAAATTATTTATTATTCCATATAACGATAGTGCTAATGCGAAGAAAATGAAAATGCTTTGTACTGGAAATGAGTTGCCAATTCTTGTTTTTAGCTTCTTCTTTTGAGCTACGATTAATCTATCTCTTTGCAAATCAAGTTCATCAGAAATCATTTGTAGCCTCAATTTTTTAAGCAGCTGCCTTAGGAACGATCCTTGTAACAAGAACTTTTTGTTTTCAAAAGATAAACTAATCAGTGCACTATATAATATAGCTGTATTATTAGTATTAGTATTTAGAAGGGTTCTAGCGAAGAGAAGGATATTTAAGACTATTATTTATAATTATTACAGCCATCTATGGTGAATTTTTTTCGATAAGTATATTCATTTTTTACTTTTTATTCATTTCTCATCACAGCTGGGCTTAATTTTTTTAAATTTAATAGTTTTTACAGATTAACTGTTTTGATTATTATTAATTACTAAATAACAAATATGTTCCTTTCTTTCTAATGCTGCAGCGCACTATTAATAAATTGCACCTGCAATCGGAGGACTTTGCGCAAGCGGTCGCTGCTCAACTAACCAAGGATGAGAAACCCGTGTATGCCAAATTGTGATCCTCCCACAGCGTTTGTACCTCTTTTCCTTCTTCCTTCAAAATAAAGTTTCAAATATCCCCGAGCTTATCCAAAATTGTATGCGCTTTTCGACCCCTAAAATTATTTAAAAAAAAGAAGCAAAAATGTGTAAGTTTGTGCACATTAAGAACAGTATTTATATGATGTAATTGTTTTATTCATTCGAGTTCTGTACAGCTTTGAAAGTGAAAAGGGGCTTTAAATGACCGTCCAGCAATTTTAGACAAGGGAAATGTATTTTAATTCATTTAAATTCTTTCGAAAGTGAAAAATCTTTTAACTGAAAGGGAAATTTTGTTTAATTATTCATTATAATGGTACACAATTTTGATAATTGTTTAATTTCCCCAAAACGGGGCTAAAGTGTGGAGCAAATATGTATTTTATTTAATTACTTTGTTCACTAAAATTACAAGGACTTTGAAAAGTGAAAAAGGCGATTCCTTCGGCCAGGCAATTATTTAAATCAAAAAGGAAAAAGTGTTTATTATTTCATTTTTTTATTCATTAAAGTTCTATACACTTTTGAAAGTGAAGAAAGGCTTTTTTTGGAGAATGTTCTTGAGGGCTTTTAGGTCTACAACGCTTATATAACATGAACGAATATGTTAAAGAAATAAAGTCATTTGTTTCGATGCCGGTTTTCAATGTCTTAAACAAAATGAAAAAGTGAATAATAAGAATGAGAGTCCAAGGCAAGCGGGCTCTCAAGCGATTAATGTCGAGTGTTCAAAAGTACTGAGCGACCGAAAGGAGCAACTATGTGACTAGGAATTTTGTGAACGCCAAGTGTTTAATGGCCGCTGGGCTCAGTTCTCGGCCCGTTTGTCCTTAAAGAGGTTCTCCAGCGTGCGGCGTTCTTTAGCGCAGACGGCTGTAAGCACCTCGACCTGTCCCTGTTCGTTGATAAGTAAATCGTCCTCAATGCGTATGCCGATACCGCGGAACTCCGCTGGAACATCCTTACGCGCCTCACTTATATAAATGCCCGGCTCGACGGTGAACACCATCCCGGACGCTAAACGGGTGGTGCGAGGCACATTCGGTGTGTCGTGAACATCCATGCCCAGATAATGAGAGACATGATGCGGACAGAACTTATAGCCCTGTCTGGTCAGCTCCTTGTAATCTGTCACATCTTTCGCTATCAGTCCGATTTCCTGCAGATATTTTCCCAGCTTGTAGCACGTTGTCTCAAACAATTGATCAAGCGTCTCGCCGCCGGTCTGCATTACAAGCGCTGCAAACGGATAGATCAAGGGATGTGTCTATTCAAAGGATTTGTGTAACTCACCAATGCTCTCCTTCTGCAGTTGGGCCATCATATCGTAGAGCGTGCGCTGCGGGTCCGTGAATTCGCCACTGACGGGCCATGTGCGGGTTATATCGCTCGTATAGCCACCATATTCGCAGCCTGCGTCCATCAGCACCAGCTCCTTAGGTTGCATGAGCTGAGTGTTGTTTACATAGTGGATGACGGTAGCGTTTTTGCCGGCAGCTACCACCGGTGGATAGGCTAGGAAGCTGGCGTTGCGCATTCGGCATTTATAGTCAATAGCCGCAAACAGATGATGCTCCGACTGGCCGGGTCGGGTATCCGCCATGACTTCGTTGAAGGACTGCGAGGCGATGTCACAGGTGCGTCTCATCAGCTGCATTTCGGCGGGTGACTTCAACAGACGCATGCCCTGCAGAAAGGTGTGTGAGGGCAGGATTTGCGCGCGGTCGGTTTGGCAAAGCTTCATCACTTCCTCGTTCACGTTGGTGAGCTCGGAGCTCATTATATCGAACCAGATGTGCGGCCTAAGGCTTATCGAACGTTTCGCTAAATTTTTTTCGAACTCATCGACGGCGTAAGCCTCATTGACACCGAAATGGCGTACAGCTAAATCAGGGCCGGTGCGCGGGCCATCCCACATCTCGGCATGTGAATCTTTCGGACGCAAAAAAAGCGTAGACTCCACATTGGACGACTCATCAATGGTTAACATCAGCACTGCATCCGGCTCCAGGCAGCCAGTCAGATAATAGAAATCGGAGCTTTGACGGAAGACGTAAGGTATTTTTCCACTCATATATTTCTTGGTTGCGCCACTCACAAGCAACTGGAAAGGATAAATGAATAAATATGATTGTGAGTGAAATCCAAGTACATATGTGGACGAACTTACCATATGAGTTTTGCCGGCTCGACCGTTGAATACATCGCCAAAACTGCGTGCATAGGCCTGTATACTCTGCATTAGTTGTGCCCGCCGCTGCTGGAACTCGGCAAGCGTAACTCCCGGTACCAGCTCGTTGGGTCTTATTAGATGTGGATGCGATGCATTGGTCGGTTGACCCAATCCATGTAGTCCATAGCTTTCAAGAGCTTTGGCGCTGTCATTTTGTACGTTGGTGCGACCCTCAACCGCTGCTGCGTTCGCTGTTGCCGTCGGTAGTGCTTTGCACATTAACCGCGTTGTCTGCGTTGTAATTTTAGCTTTTGCAAGACCGCGAATCAATTGAGAACGCGCGAGGTGCTTTAATGCGAACATGGCAACGGGACACGCCGTAAATTTTCAAAAAGGTTTTGTTTAAAAAATAGTCAAATGTATAGCGTTAACCTACATATGTTCGTATATATGTCTAAATGAGCAGCACACAATATATATATTGAAATTAAATAACTGATAAAAAACAAAACATTTGATAACAATGAAACAGCTGGCTACTCGGTTGGGCTGCCAGATGTTTACAAGCGATTAAGTTAATCGAAGTGAAGCGCATAATAAAATAATGCGAATGACAAAATTAATAGTATCAAACAATAAATTGAAAAATAATGCCAATACTTTGCAGGTTCAATCCATAAATGCGGCTTATTGAATTGTTTCAGAGCTTCATGATCGCTGATCCGGCAACTACAAAAAATCGGTTATTTAAAGCAGCGCTGCCAAAAAGTGTTAGGCTAGATTTACTGCGGAGCTTTAAAATTTTCATAATTTTTTATATATTGTTATAAGTTTAATGCAGATTTGGTAAACTCCAAAGAATGGCTAATTTTTACAATTTTTTTTACGGAAGATAACAGCATTGTTTCTGTCAGTAATTTTGATTTCGTGAGGGCAACACGTTCAATTTTAAATTGTTTATTTAGTAATATATAAAATCATATACTAATAATATTTTCGAAAATTTGCACATACACAAGTTGTTGCTATAAAATTTTAAAATGTCTGATCTATACATTCCATCACAAATTATGCAGATGACCAGCGAGCAGGTTAACCGCCTGTGCGAGCTCTGGTGGCGCATGTTTGGACCTGAGACGCGGGAGTCCTATTTAATGAAGGTCTACTCCAATGCACTCAGCGTTTACAATGAAGTATTTAAGGAATCGATGGAGCGCATGCAAATCTGCGAGTCTGAGATCGTAACGCTTCGCGATGAGGCTGCCGATATAATGCGGCTGTTAAATAAATCCACCAATTTAGGTGAAAAGCCCTCGGACATGCCACTGGAAATATGGCGATCCACACTCGATGAGCGTATTCAAGAAATGCGCACAGAGCTGAAACAGCGTCGCGCTGAAATTTGCGATTTATTGCTGTTGCAGGATCAGCTGTGTCAGGAGCTGGACGAGTCACCCATGACACTGCAGACAGATCCGCTGCCCCCTCAGGCCGATGTGGATGATTTTCGTAATTACTTGGAGCGTTTACGAGTCGAGCGCGATCGTCGCGCTAAAGAATTCGCTAAGTTGCGTGATGAAATTAAGCGGCACATGCAGTTACTAGAACTGCAGCCTCCGGCTGGCGGTAGTGAGGACCTCCTTCTCAATTATGTGCATCTTAAACTGACGCCAGATGCTTTCAGTGCACTGCAAAAGCTCAGGAAGTGCTACTCGGAGCAGGTGGAGGAGCTGCACTCTCGCATTGACGATACACGTGCAAAGATACATGTGATGTGGGAACGCCTACAGGAAACTGATGAGGTCATCAAGCGGCAGGTGTGTGAGGCTATTGATTACACACAAAGTACATACAATCTTCTGAAGAAAGAGCTCGACCGGTGCGAGGCCCGTCGCCCGACAAACCTAGAAATTTACATTCGACAGCTGCGGGTCGAAATCAAGCACTGGTGGAAAAAAACTCTTAGTTCAGATGAGGAACGCAACCGCTTTAAAGAATTGAAAAGTAATTCTTTTAACGAGCATTTAATGGTAATGCACGAACAAGAATTGGAAAACTTAAAAGCATTTTATTATAAATACGAGGAGTTGTTTGAACTTTTGACCCGTCGCACTGATCTCTGGACACTCATGAAGACACTGGACTCCAAGCCCGGTGATCCAAAACGCTTCAACAACCGCGGCGGTCAGTTGCTTAAAGAGGAACGCGACCGCAACACCATTAGAGTCATGTTGCCAAAGGTAGAACACAAAATTAAGGAGCTCGTCCACATCTACATGGAGCGGGAGCATCAGCCATTTTTCGTTTATGGAGAGGACATTTTGGAGCGCATCGCCAAGGATTGGACGCTTCGTCGTCTGGCCAAGGAGCAGCAAAGCTTGGCACGCAAACCATATAGCCACAACACCACTCTTAAGGACACTTCTTCCATGACTTCATCGACCCTATGTGTACGTGGTGCCGTGCTAGAAGGGGGGACCAGTATGTTACAATTCCCGGACAGTCCGCTGGCAAAGCGCGGACTTAGCTCCTTCAAAAGTACGACCAGCTTGCGGCACAGTCCAAGCGAGCGTTTGCAGCAGAAGACGTCCAAATCATGCAAAACCTTGAGCAGTACCAGTGCTCTATCTATTAATATCCAGAGACTGGAGGTGCCTCGCATCTGCGTCGAGTTTTCCAACGACATCGATGTCAATCCAGCTTGCGCCGAGACCGCCAATGGTGATCACAACGATAAATATGGAAAATGGGAGATTCTTGCTGAAATGTCGCCGTCACGTTTAATACTCGGTCGCAACGGCAAACAGGTAGAGCTCATGGAATAACAACACCACTAGGCTAAATATTAATAGTTCCAATCCCAGGTTGATGAATCGGAAGTCTAACAATATATACTAAATTGGAAATATCCGATTGCAAGACTAATTGAAGCTCCAATGACCGTTCAATAGGTGTGTAGAGTTCATTCCTAGTAACCTAAACCATAATTGCAATAGCATTGACAATCCCATTCACAGTTGGAAGAATCTGAAACATACTAACAATCAACCAATCAATAAATCCATGCTCAGCATTCTGCGGTAAAAGTTTCCCTTGCCTTACAACTAGTTTGGAAATGAAGTATTTAAAAGGCGGCATAAATTATGAATCACAAATAAATTCTTAATAAACTCATGAAGTACAATTTGGAGCTCAAGTCTGTGAAAGAAATCGGAATTCATGTGCATAAGTTATCATTTTGTTAAAAATAACAACAAAAATTAAGTGTAATATTAAAATATCTAAAAGTAAAGAGGCTTATTTAAATTGAGTTTTTAGCTGCTTTTACAAAATGCGCTCACACAATTTATAAAACCAAAATCAACTGTTTTGGTATTTTATATTTATATTAAATTTTTCAATTTTGAAATTGGTCGCTGTGACAACATAAAAATCAGAAATAACATTAGTGGTGGCAGTATTCAAAATTTACTTAAGAGTATCGATTCTGAGCCATCGATGTTTCGCTAAGCCATCGATGATTCTATGCGAAAGGTACTCATGTGTTATACCATTCCTAAGCCCAAGCGGTGTTTATGCAAAAAAGCAAAAATTTTGTGTAACTGTAATTGTTTTAGTTTTAGTGTTGACTTTTTTGCATACACACACACGCACACACAACTGAGCTAAGTTCCGCTCAGTTCGAAGTCAGTTCCTTCAGCTCCATTTATCCTTTAGTCCATATGGCCAACGAAGTATGTACATTCTTTACCAATTAAATATAATTAGCCCTTCAAAGAATTCACAATTGATTGCAGTGTTTCGTGCCCCGGCTGCCGGTTGATAGCGAATCCATAAGCTTCAACGACTGGCTCATCAGTTATGAGAAGTCCCACATACTCAAAAGTATATGCAAGCAGGGCAGCACCAAATGTTGCGAAAAGGATGACGCCAATTGCTGTGAACTCTGCCACTATCAGTATTCGCTGGAGCTGCCCCACCTGCCGGACATGGTATTCCATAAAAACAGACTGGTGCTGAAGCACAAGGATGGTGCATCATTGGAGTTTATGCCAATGGATGCGTTAGCCCTGGTAGCCAATGGCAAGCAGCAGGCCTTGGAGGTCGCATGCGCGCAGGAGTGGCGGGAGACACGCTCGGAGCAAACAATGGAGGAGAAATTCAAACCGTTTGATTGGACCTTCACATCCACATATCAAGGCACCATGAATGAAAAGTTTCGCTCCGAAGCAACGGAACAAACATTAAACAAATTCAAGCTAATGCAGAGGGAAAATATAATATTCTATCACGATCTCACGCTGTACGAGGATGAACTACACGACCATGGCATCTCAGTGATGAGTGTGCGCATCGTAAGTACGACGCTATCCTGTGGCATTATGTGCTAATCCTCTCAAATTTTCTCTTTCTGCTCGCTTTGTTTGCAGCGTGTGATGCCATCGGGCTTTTTTATATTACTGCGCCACTTCCTGCGCATCGATAATGTACTTATACGCATGCACGACACGCGTTTCCACCATGAGGTTGAAAATGATTATATCCTAAAGGAGTATATACACCGGGAGGCGCCCTGCTCCGATTTACAGGTGAGTTCGCCCTCCTCCCACCAATTGCCTATGTTTATTTTAAAATTGTATTGTCAGAGCTCTGTGGCTTTCTGGACGAATCCCGATGAGATGCAGAACTATCTGCCCGTTAAAACCAAGGAGCTGCAAAAGTTGTACTTTAAATAGTCAATTGATTGATGTTTTCAGTGCTTAGCACAAGATTTTCAACAAAAATAATATGCATTCTATATGTACATATGTTTGTTGCCCGTTTTGCCAGCGAAGCCGATTCCAAGAGCAGTCCGCATGGAATGGGAATAGGAATAAAAAAAAGGATGTTAAAGGATGCTGTGTATCTGCCCGTAAAATAATTTTTAACTCTTTTATTGCAACCAAATTTGCGTTCTAATCGAACATTTTTCGACAAACTAAATTAAAAAAGCGAATTATTTAAGGCCACTACAATACTATAACAACAATGTTTAAAATTCCACTAAAATTCCATAACGGAAGTGCCACAACGATGACAGATTAGGCGCCGCCCAACAGCGCGGTGAGGACGTGTTTATAATCTCCGGAAGTCTCCGACTGGAAGAGAATACAAATGTCTGCGATTAATTTCTGATTATGATTGTGAACGAAAGCAAAATGTATTTCGTAAACGAAAATTTTAACAACCATCTAAGCCCAATACTTACGTCCTAGGAAAATGAATAACACAAACCAACAATCAACAAAAGAAAGTGCGTTGACCAATCAATGTACAAATAGACGAGACGGAAGGAAGGCATTAATTAAACTACTTTTAAGGAAAGTGTAGGCGTTTAACTTACCACAACGGCGCTGTAGAGTGTGCGATTATAGATGCGTTCGAACTCCTGTTTGATGGTCTCCAAATCGATTTCCGAGCGGCAAACAATGATGCGTATAAGTGTGGCATCGTCGGTGCCGGCGCCATCCATCGCTTTGTACAGGCGATTGGCGAAAAAGGCAGCCGGCGACTGCACGCACTCCACTGGAAGAGAGATGGAGAGAGAGAGCAGGCGTGAAAATAGAATCCAAATAATAACCTATACAAACCCACCTATTGCCATCATTGCATCATGCAGTTCATCGTCCATCTCGTGCTTAATCGCCTGCTCAATTGTCTGCCCCGACAGCTGTTTGTATTCCTCGAAAACTAGACGCAGTTGGGCGAAGCTGGCATGCGCCATAATGCGATTAAAGACCTCCTCATCGGTGCCGAGCTTGGCTTCGCCGGCGGCATAAAGCTGCGCTGCCTGCTCCTTGGCCTGCACCTCATCCACAGGCGTGCTCTGCGAATCGCGCACCCCGGTCACAATTAGCGTCAGCAGTCGCCGAAAGAAGCCCGACGTCTCGCTACACATCTGCTCCGCCAAAGGTCGTTCATATTTCGCCTCATAGGCCGTCACTATTTGCTGCATCTCCTCATTGCTTTTGGTGCATAAAATTTCAACCAATGTCGACTCCTCGGTGCCCACACCGGCCATTGCCTCGTGCAACTGTTTGCACAAATAGTCGACAGGTGGCGTCATTAGCGCCACAATCACATCCTCGAACTTGCCGCCTAGCTCGCTCTTCAGATCGTCGATCAGATCCCGATCGAATTCGGCAGCATAGGCGGCGCTGATTGCCTGCCGTTGGCCATTGCTGCGTGCCGTCAGCACATCGATAATTTCCTGCTCATCGGTGCCCAAACCCTTCATGGCGGCCCGCAGCACTTGGCTGTCGGTGGTCGCATCGAACGGCGAGGCGGGCAGAATGGTGGGCACAGGCTGTGTGTGACGCAACGTTAATGTCATTTTTAAAATCAATAAAAATGTGCATAATACATATGTATGTATGTAAATGCATGCATACATATTCTAAGCACTTACCGTATATTCCATAATGAAATCGCTGCCTTGAGTATTAATTTATCACTTTATAGCTTTGGATTTATCCGCTGGCCAAGAAAGTGACTGTTTATTGCGCCGTCCGTTTTAGAATTCGGTTTCACCGCTGGTTCTGCTTTGCCTTTGGCGAATGATGACGAAGTAAACAACAATTATAATATCGATGTCTCACGTCGGCGATTTGTTGTGGTTGCTCTTATTGCTGACACTCCTCTTTTGAGCATGCCGCTAAGAGCTTTGGCCAATTAAGTCGTTGCCGGAGCTTTTAATTCAGCTTTACGCAAGCAACTGCATTCCATACTCGTCGTCTCTCATCGGCACATTGTTGTTGCTGACTCTCCACTTTTGAGTGTGCCGTTAAAAGAGGAGCTTTTAGTTCAGCTTAAGGCCACCACCAACTGCATTCGCGTTCCACACCCGACATGATGAGTCATACATAGCCATACACATAGACACGTCCACGACCGCCTACATGCATAGTAACGACGTAATTAAGCTTATTTGAAATTCCTTCATCAATAATCATCATATCTGACATTTAGAAGAGCAGGTCATAAAAGCGTGATGAATGAAAAAGGAATGCGAAGGATTGGAGGGGAAGGCTGTGAGTCGTCCTTCCTCCCTTTTTCGATGTTAATTACATTTTTCAAAATTATTTTTTTTTGGTTTACCAAATTGCACAAAATGTATGAAGGAATGTTTTTGGATTCAGTACCATTATTTGAATGAGTTCGAATGATATTAAGTTCACTTAATCTCTCCAATTAGCTTACAAATGTGTACTCTTCTTCCAATCGATTCCGAAAATTTCGAACCAAATCGGAAACCCCTGTATCAGGCCTTTTTCCGTTTTCTAATTCCAAATTGTCAAATATCTGCGTTGGAAAATTCTTTCATAGCACTTGAAAGTTATTCCAAACTGTCCAAAATGTGCGTTGGAAAATTCTTTCATAGAAATTGAAAATTATTTTTAGCTTACTTAGTCATAAATAAATCGTTACTTCATTCCCAGTTGGTGATCTGAGGAACTGATCCCGTCCAGTGAAAGGATTTCTGGTTGTGTTCTTATATAAATTGTATTTATTTCATTGTGTTTAATAGCCGCCTGTTAATTAGATGGATACATATGATGAATAGGCTTCGCTTTTGTTTATTTTTCAATTCTTTTATTTGTTGTTTTTCGTTTTTTAATATACTTTCTTCTTTTAATGGTTTCCTATATAATTTGTGTAAATATGTATGTCTGTATGTATGTACATAATATAAATTAATTGCCTGTGCAAATTATATTCATTGTATTAAATTTTTTGTTCCTTTCTATACTTTTGCGTGCCTCGAACTGACCTGCGAACTGCGCTGTACATCAAATGTTTGCTTAGCAATTATGAATGTGAAACAAAAGTTCGTTTTTTACACAGAGAAGGGGAAAATGGTAAATAATAATACACACAATAAATTAATCAGCGCCAGAAAAAAGGACCAGATTGTATAGAAGTTTTCAAATTGCCGCATTTCTAATACTTTCGAAACCTAATAGAGAAAGAACATTTAAACAAATGCTGAGCATTGGAAAAACGGGCGAAACAATAAAACTATTTGAAAGAGTTTAGGAACAGAACTGCCATAAAACGATATGAAAATAATATGAATCATAATAAACTTAGTTCAGAGAAAGTCTTTAAATCTGTTTCAAAGCAGTTTCGATTATTCCCTCTGGCCGATGATATAAGTTTAAACCAAGTTGGCAGCAGGAGCCCTTGAAATTGTTTTGTTAGCTTAGATCTCATCGCTCTGATTCATCTTGAGTTCGTTTAGCGTCGTATTGAATCGCGACCATTCATCGCGAGACGGTTGCGCCAGATGCTCAGCCACATCGTAAACATATAGCTTGCCGGCCTCATCGCCGATGGTGACATGCAGCCCGGATGGTGTCCAGGAAACGCGGTTGAGCGCCGGCGCACCGTCGACTACAATCGATGCCGTTGGTACTTCAGTATCCTGATTAAGGTTCCATAAATCAAGGCGACCGCTACCATCGACAGCGGCGAAAAGTGCGGGATGAATGGGCGACCAAGCGACGTCCATAACATAGTCAGAGTTATCCTCGAACGAGTACAATGGTTTCGTGTCCTGCAAAGCACATGATTCATAATTAGTTCTTTAAATTCAAATTTCAATTAAATTAATTGCCAAAACAAGGGTTATACCTTAAGAGACCACAGCTTAATAGTCCAATCAATGGACGAGGTAAGGAACAAGTGACCAAAGTCAGGAGATGACTGGTTATAGTGCGTCGATATGCCCGTAATGGGACCCAAGTGGCGTTCGAATACTTCGTTGACGCCTGAGCGCAGACCGTGACGTGAGGCTGTGTGAAAGAAAGAAAGAGAGTAAGGGAGAGAGTCGACAAATGGAGTGTCTATCACATACCCGAATAAACGTAGCCATCCTCACTGCCCATAACAAGGCTGTTAATCTCATTTGCTGGGAATGCCATGCATGTGATGGCAATAGCCTTTGACTGACGCTGCTGGAGCTCGAGGGTGTCCTGCGGCTGGGACAGCATGTCCAGGGACCAGGAGCACAATTTGCCATCCGACGATATTGAGATGACATTGTGCGCGTTCTGGGTACCCACCATTTGGAGACTGTATACTGGGTGTGTGTGTGCCGCTGCGCTGAGGGGTGTGCGCTGCATGGGTGTACGTTTCTGGACACGATTGTCCCACAAAACTATTTGGCCCGAATAGGTGCCGCCGAGTATCAGATTGGGATTAAATTTGGCGAAACAGGTGGACATCACCGCACTCTGGCAGTGGAAGACATCCTCGGGCGTTTGTTTTTTAAATTTGGTATTCCAAACCATAACAACGCCGTCCGGCTCGTTGGGAGACTCGTCGTTATTGTGATACGATGCCAACACCAGTTCCGGGAAGTGTGTCGACCAATCCATGCTGGTGATGCAACGGTTCTTCGACCATCGCTCGTCGTAGAAAACGCGATTTAGGGAAAGCCGTGCATGGGAACGTTCGTCGTTGGCCTCCTCGTTGTCGCCGCAGCCAATATAGTCGGTATAGATGTCCACATTCTCGGAGAGGGCGCGCTCGATAACGCGACCGGCGCGCAATACAAACCTTTGGAAGTCCTCCGACAAGATAATCATTTGTTTTTGCTCCTCGGAAAGCTCCTTTACTGCAAGTTCCAGCAAAGGTTTAAATCATTCGTGTTACTGAAGTTTCTTTCCGAATTCCATCTTTGTGACGTCAAAAACTCAAGTTGTTCAATATTGAACACATTTAACAATTTCGATTGCACACAATTAAATTGAATTCGGAATTGGTTTCTATGTTTTCTTGAAACCATAATATATGTATCTACTTACCTTCCTTCTTCTCTTCCTGCTCCTTCTTTTGCTCCAGTGGCGTGATGGCTGGTGCGACATCTTTAACCGTGGGCAGACCATGCGTCAGATATCCTGGCGGCAGCTTTGAGCTAAAGCCATGGTCCAGATGGGGCAGCGAGCTCTCTTCGTCGTCTCCTTGGGCATCAAATGCAAGCACTGTTTAAGGTATAAAGCTAAAACAGCTAGAGGAACATGACAATCGACAGAACAGGAACAATTCTACTTTCTTGCTGCTTTTCTTTGCTTTTCTTTCGATTTTAAATGTTTTTGCACTTTACAAATGGCTTTACTTTTGTGGCGTTTATGTTTCATTTTTATTTTATTTTTCAATTAGTTTTGTGGCTCTCTCCTGAACTTGGTTTTGTTTTTGAGGTTTTCGATTTTCGTGGGTGGTGTTGGGTGATATATGAGTTTCGAGTGTGCAGTGTGGCTAATTGGATCACGTACATAGAATGTATAAAACAGTGGCCTGTGTTTGGCTTCGGTGACCATCTCTGGGGCCATCACGAAGAACCTCTCACAAACAAACGCCCACAAACACATACGTTTAATTTGTTAAGAAAAAGTTGGAAGATAAAAAGGGAGGAGGAGTACGTTGTGAAAATGCAGGACTCTACAAAAAAATCATTATTTGATTTACTATGAATTTAGAATGAAATGATTGGGTAACTTTTGCATTATATATTATCAATACTAGTGACGCCATTTTATGGACTTTATTTTCAGCGTATTAGAAGTTTCGTTTGAATAGCGGGAGCATAACACATTAGACACTTTAATATAATACTTTTATGCACAAAATTAGAATGCAATTATTGTTGAAATGGGGCTTTTGACATTGAATAAGTTATTCAAATTCTTCTTTTGAAATTGTAAAAACAATTTGTTAAGTGTAATGTCACAAGTTAATTTTTGTCGGCCAATTAAGAGATATCTTTGAATGTTGTCACAAATGCAGTAATTTTCGACATACATTTTAGGCGGATACAAAAGAAATTAAACATTATTGACGTCACTAATGTTGGACACTAGAAGAGTATGCAGCTAAATGCGTTTCTTCATCTTTTTATTTAAATGAGATGATCCATTTATGATGTCATACATTCGCCTATTGAATTTATTACATCTGAGAGATGAGAACAGTAAGCAGCTAAATGCGTGTCTCTCCTTTTCTTTTTTACTCTTTCTCTCTCTTTTATACGAAATGCATGAAAGCTTTATATGGTCAGAGTTGCATATTTTGTATTTTCCGGACTCAAGATCACAACGGGCGGGCAGGGGAGTGCACAACGCTAGTGCGAGCGTCCTTTTTCAAAAAAGAAATATATATGTATTTGATTTGTATGGATGTGGATGTATGTGTGTGTGCGTGTGTCTGTGTTGTGTTTGAGGCATGATGGTTAAAACGATGAGCGTTGCAAATGCTGTTATATTCGAATATACATATGTATGTATGTATGGTATATACAAAGCCAATTATATATATGTAAATCTAAATTGTTTATTTTTGCACTAATGTATGTACATATGTAATACGTATCCAATATATACATATGTACATACAAACATAGCTGTGTGTGTGTGTTGTTAAATAATAATTAATATGAAAGAGTAATTCTTGTTGTTGTTGTTTTTGTACACCTGTTCTCTTTTCTTTCACATTTATGTTTTTTAAATTCAGTTTCAGTTCTGCATATTTCTCCACCCAGTTTATAAAATTGCACTTAATAATAATTTAATTATGCTAAAATTTATTACGTATGGTATGTATGTTTAACATTTAAAATTATTATTGACAAAGTCGCATGTTATCTGCACAAAATATGTATGTATGTACATATACATATACGTATGTATGTATGTACATATGTACATTTGCATGTATGTATGTACGTGTTTATGAGTATGCAGGTGCATTTAAGAGAGCCGCCGCATTGTCCAGTAACGGTATTGGTAATTGAGAGTGCGTGCGTGCGTATGAGTCGGAGTGAGCGCAGGCGCAAGTGCGTGTGGAGACTAGAGTGTTGTTGTAATTAAACGAACACAAGCAACGGTTAACGGTTAACAATAAGAAACAGAAGCATAGGAAACAAAAGAAAAACACAAGAACTTGAAGTTTATCGAAATGTCGAATTTAAATTTCTAAACGCCCTCCCCACTCAACCTCACGTTACGATTGATTTATAACAATTTGAAGAAACCAAAGTGAAAATAGAAAATAACAACTTAAGCCGGAAATCTAAATATGTCGTATATCTGTAGCTCCAATTAAAATTTTGTTCGCCTCTCCAAATTTATGAGGAAAGACAATTCTGAATGATATTTCGGGTTTAGGTTTACAGTTAAATTGTTAACACAATATATATGCAGTTATAGTAAAGGTAATATAGTATGGATTAGCTGACAATATGATGGGAATGACGAATGGCTTTCAGATTATCAGGTTAGCAAATAGTATGAACACACACATGCGCATGATTTTTGGGGTTTTAAGGTATAGAAACAGGCATCGGGCGAGTGATTGAAGAGAGTCTATCAAATATGACAACATTTTTAGCCTTCATATTTTAGTGTCTTTCTTCAATAGGCACTCTAGCCTCAATCAGTCTGTAAAACAACGGCACGTTCGGGTCTTTAAGTGTTTGTTTTTATGGGAAGGATTCCGTGAAAGTGTAGGTAATAGTTTGTGCGGCTCGTGATTCAGATTTACATGGAGCTCTTTCGGTTTTCGTCTCTAGCTGGGTCTAACAATTTACGTATATGTAGTTATATTTATTTAATTTAAATTAATATTTTGTTCATATTTTATATTGTATATTATTTGAAGTGAATTCTTGCGTTCCTATTTTGTTTCATGTCGATTCCGTCACTGCTCAAAATATATTTGGGCGAGCATAGGGCACCGCCTCGTGGGGTGTACCTACCTGTGAATTCATCCTCCCACTCTAAACCCGGATTAAGATTGTATTCATCTTGAAGAAATATAAAGAAATATAGGTATATATTGTACATACAATATGCATTGTATTGTTGTTGATATTTTTTGTTTTTTAAAAGATTTTTTGTTTTATGTAGTTTTTGTTGTTGTTGAATTTAAAATTAAAAATTACATACATATGTATTAGCATTGGTGGCCCAATATTTTGGCCTAAACATACCGCCCGTTCAGCTTGCAATGCATAAACCATGTAAAAATATATATAGGTTTTATGTACGAGTAAATGTGTTAAAAAGAAGGTTTAAAAACAATGATAAAACATAGCAGTACTATGTAATTTGTTGTTCTCGCTCCTTTCTATGGAGTATATGTAAACAAATATTAGCACACAGGAGCGGCGCGCATGATGAACACTAAAGAAAACGTTGCGCAAACATTCTTATTTCATAGCGCTATTAAATCATATAAAAAAAGTACTTTCTTCATAAAAAATCTTGTATTGCGCACTGCAAAACAAAAAAACTGCTGCCAAAATATAAATACCAGAAGTGACAATTCTTTCTTTGCTCCGCGGGGTGTTCGTTATAGAAAAATTTTACAAATTGCTGGCCCCGTTCGTTTCTTCGTGACGAACAAATTTTCAAAAGAGTTAGAGTCTCTGTAACAATTATTTGTTACTGCCTATTGATAGATACTGGTTGTGTTGAGCAATAATCTGTCAAGAAGGTAATTGAGTGACGACTGCGAATAAAACCAGCTTATTAAATAGCTTGCCCGGTTTATGTTTTACAAATTTTCCGTAGTGTGACCAATAAACATTGTAGTTGAATCGTGATGGAAGAGCTGTCCAAACAAATTATTGGTCAGCATCTATCTCTCCTACCGAAAGAAGTATTATAAATGTAATTATTTTTGCATCTAGTATTTATTGCTTTGGCAGTAAGTTTGTTTGAAGTGCGTTTTCTACATGAATAAGAAATTATTTGCGCTTGTTTCGACATGCAAGTAGTGTGCGTGTATGTGTGAGAGAGTGGGTGTATGGCGTCCATTTTGTTTAGACTTACGTAACACATTTGTGAAGGAGTTGCATGACTAGCTGATCATAAGTAGATTATGTATGTCGATAATAGAGAAATGTCTCAAGCATAAAGCTAAAAGTTATCAGATTTTATTTAAAAATTTTTAAAATAAAAAGTGCTTAAATATTTTGAATTGAATATTTAAATTGGAAATATTGTTGCATTGAGTTAGTTAGCTTTGAATTTCTGGTATTATTATTGTTGAGTTTTATATTTATTTTTTGAATATTTGCATTAAGTAACTACAAATATGATCGATTCTATAAAGTGGACCGAATTATGGATTAAATATGAAACATTCGCACCCCACACTCTTTAAGACATTTCTCCATTTACATACACAAAATGGTTAATGATAAGAACTTAATTAAATAATAATTGTAATAATAATAATTATAACGTAACATATCAATAATTTGAGCGTCTATTTAAGGTTTTTTGTAAACGCGCACACCACTGGCTTAGATAAATTAATAATAGAACTGAACTCGACTGTTGTTGGGGCTTAAATAAAACTTAAAATGCATACAGCAACTACTTAAACGAGTTACAAACTTATAAATTGGGTGGAGTTGAACAATATTGGTATATGTATATATATATTCGTTTCATTAAATAAGTTTACATATAAAAATTCATACATAATATCTCATAGAAACTCAATCTCTTGCAGAGCTATTTTTTGTTTAAAAAAAATGAAGATATAACCAATCCACATAAATCTGATGATGTATCCATTAATTACATCATCGCATCGTATGTGGCAGAAGAAGAAAAAACAAAACAAAAACAAATTCAAACTATACGCCTGCATTTGAAACAAAAAAACCACAACAAAGTAAAAGTTAAAAGCTCGAAATCAGCACTTTCTATACATACTATAGGATAGTAACTACATAGATATAGATAGGATAATGTATTGGGCATGAGGAGAGCGCGAAATAAATACTAAACTACAGCGAAATGCAATATATATTTTATGCACATAGAGGGAGGTAAGTACATATTTATCAGGTTGATATACATATGTAGTATAGAATGGATAGGTTGTTTGAGAGCCTACAGTTTACAGATCGTTCGTGAAACCAAGCTACAACTACACGCATACATAAATAGATATTATAGGAGCTTACAACTACATACATACAAACAAAAACAAAACAAACTAATAAATCGATAAAACAAGAAAATAGAAGTATCAAAATGTAAATACAAATCTCAACAAACGACTCACCATAATAATCCGTAGCATGAGCTGCAGTTTTTATTTTTGTGTGCGTGCCAAAAACAGATAAAGGGGAAGAGAGAGTAAAGAGACAAATTATTAAATGCGCTCAATTAATGCCATAAGTCTAAAAGGGAAATGCATTAGTTTAAAAGATGAATCAAACAAACGCAAGTGGTGCGTACATTTGCGCGCGTGTGTGTGTATGTGTGTGTGGTGATCAACCAGAGAGAGAGCAAGAGAGGGGGAAAAAGCAAAAGGCTCGATGGATCATGGTCGTGGAGGGTCAATGAAAAGAAAGCATATGAGTGAGGGGGTGTGTGTGTGTGTGATTGACCAGAGAGCGCGAAAGACGGGAAAAAGCAAAAGGCTCGGTGAATGAATTAATTGTCAATGAGAAGAAAGCGCATGGGGACGACAGCAACTAAAGAAATTTAAATGGCGAATTAAATTTTAAAAAAAGTTAAACTAAATGACAAATGTTGACTTAACGACATCATTACCAGATCGAATCGAGTGCTGTTTTATATGTACGATTAATTGGTTAGACTTAATATTAATACCTTTACGTGGACGCCACCAATCCTCCATATATCCTGACAGAGGCGAGGAGTGGCAAGAAAGAACTGTATTTGTTATTTTATTTCACTATGAAATGCTTGCAATGTTGTTACTTCAAAATGTTTGTACATTATTATATTCGATGGGGGATTACTGATTGGAATGCATTAATGCGCAACAAAAAAGCCCAATTTAAATGGGATGGGGGGATAAAGAATTGGACGCGTTTGGACATTTGGTGGCTGTGGTGCTGGCAGCGAGAACATGCAGCAAAGACCAGACAGGGCAGCAGCAGGATAGCATCCTAAGCATACAGGTTAGTTAAAAGTAAGTACATAGTATAAGAATTAAGAACAGCAAACAGTAGCAGGAAGACTAGAAAGGCGAGGCGGAGGGAGACAGTTACATAAAATCTGAGTTATAATATTACTATAATGATTAATAACTATAATCACAACTATGGAAATTTTGGGTTTGCTTCATACACTAAACAATGAACTACGGGTTTATCGCAATTCGCAATTGGCATTTAATAATACGCACCATCACGTTCGTGGCCACCAGTGCTGGTGGTTTGTGTTTGCTTTGAGTAGACGAGTGTTTCCTTTGGTGGAATGTTTGTAGCTTGCACATTGTAGACGCTCAAATTAAGCGGCTGTTTCTTGCCGCCACTGCAAATTTTAATTTTGAATACCATTTTCATAAACATATACTATACAATAATAACAAGTTTTACCTTTGACCATTAACATTGGCCTGCAGACTGGCATCGGGCGTTTGTGTATTGGAATTATCTGATGTCAACGAGTTCACCGAAGATAGCGAGGACAGCACTTCCGAGACAGGCGCAACACCCAACGAAGACAGCATTTCATCCAAGTCCCTATGAAGCAAACAGCCAACAAGCAATGAATCATATTTCCAACATATATACACACATATATATATATACATATTAAAAACATACTTGCGTTGATCTTTGTCTATGCCAGCGCCGCCTCCAATGCGTCCAGCTGCCTCTTCCATATCCTTGATCTCCTTTTCTCGTCGACGTCGATCTTTCTCCTCACGCAATGCAGCCAATTTGGCCTTTTTGCGTTCCAATTCAGCCTTGCGGTCCATCTTTTTGTCGTTTGAAACAAACGATTAATATGTGTGTTTGAGTCGGCGAACGCCTTTTGCCTCTACAATATGTTTGAATGCTACTTAAGCTTTGCTCTCTGCAAATCAAATAGTTTTCATATGTAAAACAATATGTGTATGCAAAGGTGGCTTAATGATGATGATGTCACCAATTGGCCAAATGGTAGTAACACCAAATGGTAAATAGGCGTATGCGTCGACACGAAAGAAAGTTTGTAATTGTGCATGGCCAATTGCTTACTAACTTCTGGCAGCTTTACATTTTTTTAACTTATACAAATGATAAAGGAGCTAAACTTTTTTCTTTGCTTCTGGCTCGCGTAAAATCAATAACGTCAATAAGCAGTGAGTGCACTGCAATTTTTTGTTCCGCATTTACAAATTATACACAGACACCATTTGTTAATTTGACTATTTGGCGTACCTTTGAGCCCTTTGCTATTGTTTGCACGTTTGTTTATTGCAGATTTAGCACTCAAAAAACATTTTTCATCTACAAAGGTACGACACGAATGTTTTGCGAATACACTGCAAAGTAATCGCAGTCGCTCAAACTATCGTCATCGCAGTCGTAATCGTACGCCCATTGGTTAAACGCCGATAGGTGGCAGTTTGTAAATATGTATGGCAGCACTGACAGAATATTTGAATTGCTTGGTATAACTTTTTTTTTCGTTTTTCGTTTAATATGCAAGGCGTGTGTAAAGAACGTTTTGAAAATAGAAAGCTGTTAAGAATGCGGATTTGTCTGTTGGCTTAATGCAACAAAGCTGTTTAGTATTGATAGTACTTGGCATTGTTTGTAACTGCGTATGTAGGTAGCATTTAAATAGTTAGGCGATTTAATTTCTTTTTTCTTTCGTATTTCATTTCATACATGAATGAGCATTGACCCCAAAATAACAAAATTAACTGCCAATATGGATTTGGCACCGGCGATCAAGTCCAAGTATATAGTTTGTTTTAATTAAGCCCGCTTTATAACCATTTTGAAAAGCTTTTTTTTGTGGTTTTGGGAACGCAGCAGATGTCATCAAATATCGGCGCTTAATGGTGACAAATAAATTGTAAGATGAGGGCTTTTTGTATACACATTTCGTAACAAATACAATATATACATATGGATATAGAGAGATATAGATAGAGATATATATAGAGATAGATATATATATAGAGATAGAGAGATCTATATAGAGAGATAATAATATATAGATATATATATATATGATAGAGATATATATATATATAGATATATATATATATATATATATAATATATATATATATATATACATATATACATATGTATAAACATATACAATCACTGAGTAGTGGACAACGCATATTTAGGCTAAAAGCTTGTGCATGCGTGCGTTTTTGTAGCTCGCGTGCGATCGTTGTTTCTGTTTCTTGTTTTTATATTTATAAACCGGACCATATCGATTGCCAGATGGTTGTTGCAAAAAAACCTTGAATTACAAAATCTTCGACTACGCTACGGGTTTCAAGTAGTTAAGGAGAGGGAAAAAAGCCACTCGCCCAGCTCCAATTATAATACTATCCGGCAAGATCGGCAGCTGCCGGGTTTGACGCATACATATGCCTACCACCGCATTTGCTAGTTTTGCTTAAAAAAATTCTATATACATACATAGTATATATTAGCATTAAATATACAAACGAATTGCTAATTCACTTTAATTGCTCACATTGTTTCTAAGAAGCTAACTCGGATGCCACAAGCCGACTGCTCGACTGGTTGGTTGACGGGCGCGTCTTGCCGTTGGCATTGATGAAGCGAGAGTAAAAGTTTTAATAATTAACTAGGCACAGTGAATGCTCGCATTGGCGTACCAAAAATCGAATACCAATTAAATGCCTAAATATCAGCTCAACAGTACAAAAACTCTTGTTTTTGAACATTTCATTTACAAAAAAAGAAGAGTATTTAAGGAATAGAAAAGTATTACAAGTATGCTGAAAAATTAAATGTTATAAATGACTTTCTAACTATCAAAAACCAAAATTAAAATTTTAAATAATTGTCCAATAGGGAAAGCGAGTTTGTACAAAATTATTAGATTTTGATTTAGAAAGTTTAAAAATGTGTTTAAATTCAAACACAAATGAAACATAATTTGACGAATATTGAAAACTTAAATTTTAATAAACATATTTCAATTTGTTCATCCTCATTGATGAATGATTGAAATAACAATACTTTTAAGATATTTTCTTATGAACACTTATGTATTAAAAGCGTATAATTGCACCTTAGATCTGATTCGGTTTTTCAAGCTGGATAACATAAAAAAAAAATGTAAAGAAATACTTGTACAATAAACAAATCTGATTTGTGATTTAATTTCAAGAAAGACAACTTAAATTAACCAATTCAACCATTAAATTAAAAATGCTTTAGGAAGTTTTCACTGTACTTGTGTTGCTAAATGTTTTAAGTTTCTGTTCGTTAATTTCATCGCTTGCATTGTTTAGCCGGCAGCGGTTGTGGGTTTCAAGGATAACATGTCTTGTTTTTTTTGTGCATATATCTCCATGTTTATATTTCTCTGTATATTTGTATGTAATGTCGTGCCAGGCCATGCTCGCTTCAGGTAACTGTTACTACGTTAATACGAACGCACAAATTAGTGAGACTCGTTCGATATGAGAAACCATGCAATGCCCCGCATTCAAATTTTTAAATGAAAAGCGAACTGTGTAGATATGATAATTCAAATCCCTTATAAATATGTCGGCATTTGAATTTGCACAGATCTTCTGGGATAGACAGTTTTGGCTTTATATGTAAACATATGAACAACATAAAAAGTACACGTTTATGGCTTTTCTTCAAGTAATCAAAGAACTTTTTTTACCTATCATTGAGAATAAATTCAATGCACTAGCTGTTTTCCTAATTAGAGAAGATTAAAAAACCATAGCTTAGCTGTAATTTTGGCCATTATCTTGTTGAAAGACCCACTATAGAGGTACATTTTCCACATTTTCAATATGGTGAAATTTTACTTTACAGCAACAGTAACAGACCATAGTTTTTTTTACATAGTTTTCTTCTGAATTATATTCAAAAGTTACTAAAATATTTAAAGGTTACTAATCTATTTAAAGTTAACTAAGTGTACAAATTTATTAGTAGCCGAAGAAACGTTTATGACTGTAAGTGCGTTTCACAGTAGTTCGAATGTTCGACTGTATGAACGCCTGTATTTTGAAACCTATTAAGGTTTCAGGAACGAAACGATAGAACAATTATTTGTGCATTGTTTAGGCTCAAATTATTTTTCATACATATTTTGGTTTTTGCATCATTTTGAATTTATAATTTTTTTAAATTTATTTGGATTTCTTTATTTTGCTTAGTTTATACATTTGTAAATAATGACGATATTAATAGCAAAAAATAAAGGACAAGAATTTTATTAATTTTTCATTATTTTCCAAGATAAAATAACAATATGTATTTCGATCGTAACTACATTTTGCGGCACTATACCAAAAGTCATAAATACCAGACTTACTTAAAATATAGTTGTAAACAAAAGTTATACATACTACAAAGAGGGATCAGTCCTGTGGCAGACCAAGTTTGGTGTCCTTAGCTATTATGGCTTAAAAACTATAATTGTTCATACGGTCGAACGGGCGAAAGCTCGAACAGTTCGAGAGTTCAAAAAGACGATCCGCCTCGTCATGCTTATCATGCATATTGTACATACAAGTATGTACTACACTCTCTTTAACTCTTTTTGAAGTCAGTCTAATGTAAATAGTAGATATGTAAGCATGCCAACGTTTTGGTAAGTGAAATGCTACCGTTAACTGAACTCTTTTTGAATAATTTTGGGTACATGCATATAGCGAGTACATACAAACATACTAAGTGGTATTTAAATTTTAATGCCAAAGTTGTTGAACGAAGTTTTTGAATATTCTTGCCATCTTATAGCGCTAACATTCAATTATTAGTACATACAAATATACATAAGTATGTAGATATATGTACGTATGTATGTATGTGTGTACATTTTATTTGGCTTTGTGAAGTGGCTTGCAGTGGATGGAATGGTCGAAACGGTTCGAATCCAATCATTAAACATTTGCATGCGAGTCGTCACCCCAGCATGGCGCGGCATTTTATTGCGGCATGTCTTCTCATCTGCTTACCTCTTTTTCAACAACTTGGGCTTTTTTACATACATACATGCATGTAAATACATATGTACATACATAAATGCTCGTATGTATGTAGTTATATACGTGCAAGTTGGTTTATTTATACTTTTTATTACAAGTTTGTTTTGCCCATCCCCATCCTCTTTGGACTCCAGGTTGAGGTGAGCTGCCGGTACCCGTTACCGTCCCCGATGCCGTGCCCGCTCCCATCCCTATCTGGTCGCACCTTGTCACGATGCCAGCAGCAGCTCCAGCCCCAACGCCAACGTCAACGCCAGCGCCAGCGTCGCTGCCCACTACCGGTAACAAAAAAGTCTTCAAAAGTGCGTCTCTCTGCCGTTTCGTTGTTAGTTTAAGTTTAACCATCGCCCGCTTGAGTTGTGACTTATTCGCTGCTTTTTGTGCAGCAAGTTTTCAATTTTTTTATAGTTAGTTAGTTTGTTTGTTTGTTTGTCTCTATCTTCAACAACAACAACAATTAACAAATTAATTAAGGACTTTTGTAAACAATTGATTCGTGTTAATTGCATATTTTTTTTACATTTTCACAAAATGAAGCTAGTTTTGTGTATTTTCGCAGTGACACTCTGTGTGGCCGCAACAAGTGAGTTCTAAAGCCTTTTCGGGACCCAATACTACTATTACGAAGTACACCTCTATATATTAATGTAGAGGCCGGGTTTGAATAGGTTTCGGGAAATCCAATCGAAACGCAACAAAACACAACTGAAGAAATGTAGTTTAAAGCTTTCTTTAATTTTCGCTTCTATTGGATATGATATATTTTCTGATTAGTTTTTAACCGATTCAGAATCATACTAATATTCGACATTGAGCTAAAATAATACTTTTTGTAGAGGACTACCTTCTTTGAAATTAGGGCTTCAATAGGCGCCGAGAATCCAAATCAAATTAAATGATATTAATTTTTATTGAAAATTCAAATTTAAAGTTCTTTAAGCTAAAGAGGAATGGTTTATAGAGAGAGGGGGTTTACTTTTATTTTTTTAATGTTTTGGATTAGGAAGAAATTTAAACGAAATGACAGTATACATTTCATGAAAACCAGAGTTGATACTTTTTAATACCCCTTGACAGTTCAGTTTTAAGATTTATTAAAAAATATATTAATATGTTTATGGAGAGTATGCTTTTCAGTTCTTGTATTTTGGTTGCTATTTAATTTCCTTAATTGTATGGACATTAGCAGGCTTAAGAATGTAATGAAAACTGGGTTCTATAGAGTACTTTGCATTATAAAATAATTAGGCTTCGATTATTTTTTATTCAATCGGCTTCTACTCGAAATGAAAACCATTTTTAAGATTTAAATACCATTATGAGTTCTCTTTCGAGCTCTTAATTAATTTAGGTTCTTTCTGGTTATCATTTGTAAGCCTTTAAAAATAATAATACCATTAAAGATTGTTAAAGAATTTCCTATGAAGAATTGAGGATCGGATTTGATTCGCAGAAATTCAATTTGGAGATCAGGAAATTAAGTTTGGAAGGAGTCCTATGAGGCTAGACCAACTATCAGCTTTAAAACTTGTGCAGCTGTTTCTTTTTTTTCGCAACTATTGGGTATTTCTAACTAATCTGTCATTAATGGCCGTTCCTAGCAAAATATTGTTATACTGATATGTATTTCAATGTACAATATGGCTGATAAGATAAACAAATTTGTTGAAAAAGTGATTTTCTGATCGTCTTATATGTTTTATGTTCGAGTTTATTTTCGAAGATAAGCCAATATTTGTTAAGAGTACAAGTTTTTAACTATCAACAAAATAAAATAGTGTCATCAAAAATATTGTTTTTAAGCTGATTTTGAAGAACCTAAAACTATTAAATATTTGCTATAAAAAGTAATAGAATGTTTTCTATCTATAAAAATTAATATTTTCGATATTTTTAAAGCGATAAAAGCTTTATAGTGACATACATGTTACTTTTAAAATTAAAGAAATTATTATCATCTCTTTGAAGCTCTATTTATATTCAAATATTCGATTAAAATACGATCAGTTTTAACTGCTTGAAAGGAATAATAGAACGGGTTCTGTGTATTTTCAAACTTTTACGTTATTTCAAAATGAAATAATATACCAATATTCCCCTTTAAACTCTTTTTAAAGCACAAAGAGAGGAAGAGGAAGAAGAAAGATATGTGTGTATATTTTTGCATAAAAAAATTATGGCAAATATTTGTACTGAATAGATATCACAGCTTTATGCTAATTAGTGTGGCATTGGCACTAATCGCCACACGATCAGCAACTAAATGAATTATGCGTATATATCTATATTTTATACCCGTATGTATGTACATATATTAATACTATATGTATGTATGTCTGTAACAGGCTGTTAGGGAACTGTTTGACATTAAAGCGAATCCAAATGTCACAGAGAAGTTGAGGTCGAATTTGCATTTTAGTTAGTTAGTGATTATTATTATTATTTTTTTTTTTGTTTGAAATTTAAATGCTGCAACGCTGAGTGGCGAAACCGAAACTGAAACCGAAACTGACAAACAGGTACGGGACGGCCTTATAAACCGGCTGTGTGGGAAACCGGATGGCGAGTAGATGGCCAAACCCAAAGTAGAAGTAGTGTGCTGGCTTGTGGGTGCGACACGGGGGGTGCGATTATGCAATTGCCTTCAGGCTGGAGAGCAGGGCAGACAAACCACTAAAGACGCTGAATGCGGAATCGATCGATCGAACGAACGATGGAATTGATCAATTGATCGATGGATCGATCGTACATTCGCTTTTGTTACACTATTTTCAAAGTGAAAGTGAAACAGTTTAACGAACTCCACAATCTCTTCTCCTTCTTAACAGCCACAAATTTTGAATGTCCCAAGCCAAACGGTCAGTTCGCCGATGATCAACAGTGCGACAAATATTATGTCTGCGACGATGGTGTGGCGAAGGCCAAGCTCTGTCCTGATGGTCTCGTCTTCGATCCTCTCAATCGCAAGATCAACAAATGCGATCAGCCTTTCAATGTGGACTGCGAGGATCGCACAGAGCTGCGTGAGTTTTCATCGAAATTTCACACTATGCTGTTCAGAATTAATTAGAACCTTGACTCTTTTTGCTTACTCAGAGGAGCCAAAATCTACCAAATACTGTCCACGCAAGAACGGCTTCTTCGCCCATCCGGATTCTGCCGTCTGCAACATTTTCTATAATTGCATCGAGGGTGATGCGCTGGAAATGAAGTGTACGGTCGGTCTGCATTTCGATGAATATTCCGGCACCTGTGTCTGGCCAGATACGGCCAAGCGTGAGGGCTGCAATCCTTTGGATCGTAAGTGGCTCGAAAATTTACGATTCTATATACTTGTATGTAGATGGGATTATTAAATGTTTGGTTGGATTTTGTTTTGTTGCAGGCAAATCGGACAGTGGCTTCTCCTGCCCCAAGGATCAGCCCAAGACCGATGCGCGCGGTCAAGTTGTGACGCATCCGAAGTACCCGCATCCCACCGACTGCCAAAAGTTCTATGTGTGCCTGAACGGTGAGGATCCCCGGGATTTGGGCTGCCAACTAGGAGAGGTGTACAACGATTTGACTGAGATGTGTGATGCCCCCGAGAATGTGCCCGGTTGCGAGGACTGGTACAAGGATCCAGAGGATGCCAAGAACTAAAAACCACACACACACACACACACGCATACTGAACCACAAACACTCACAATTCACACACACACCCACACACACGCAGGCGTGCGCCCAGAGACGCCCGTAGTAGTCACTTAACTCAGTAGTTGTTAACCTATTCCTATAGTGTATACATCCGCAAATATTGTGAAACATCTACACATTTTCTACAAAGTCAATACTTTTTTCTTTTTCTTTTTCTCTAACGCTCTATCGCTCTATCTCTCTCCTTCCGCTATTCATTCTCCCCCTGTTTTTATAGCTCGACTGAAACTCGCTATACATTCATGGCTGCTACTCCAATTCTTGCTCTCTCTCTCTCTCTTTCTTCTTTACTCTTTTGACTCTATTCTTCTCGCCTTCACTCTTCACTTTTCTCACTCAATTCTCTATAAGTTTCTTCTAGACTATCTCCTCTCTACGACACAAATATCCCGCTTTTCTGTGCATTCAGAGAACGACGAGCTGATTATTTTTGTCTGTTTTTTCGAAGCCATTTTAAGCATTTACTTTCTCTTCCTTTCTCTGCACTTCTCAGATATGTTGTATATAGTATATATTTTTCAATATAACTTCGCCTAAATAATGTACCATATTAAATTGACTTGAAAAAAGAACGATTTTGTGTAATTTTGATCTTTGCAAGAAGAAGAGAGATATGAATTACAGATTCAATTCTTATGAAAAGATAAGATCCAAAAGTAATGGGAGCTTAGGTATTGTTATGTCGAAGGTTCTTTCGAAATGATTACGAATTCAATATCACATGAAATTGTCTTTAGGAAGATAAAACTTAAATGTGATGGAATTTTGAGTGAGAGGAACTATTGGATTGGATTAATTCCAATATCTCATAAGATGTTTTTTTGGGAAGATAAAAGTTAGATGTGAGTCGTTGTTTAAATATGCATTTTTGGGCAGAATTACAAATCCAATATCATACCATACTGTCGTGTAAGAAAATAAGACCCATATGTGATGATTGAAAGATAAACAATATTTGAACACTTGAAATAAAAACTTGCAGGTGTTCTTGAAAGCAGAAGAGAGTGCTAATGGATAATAAATTAAATTCCCGACGGGATGGAACAGCAATTTTTGGGACACATTAAATTGGACGCTTTTTAAGAGGCAATGAATATTTTGAAATGCTTAGCAATTTCTAGGTTCATAAGTGATCACAGATGTTAGGTTTTTCAGAGTTTTTAATTATGAAAACTAAATATTACATGCCATTTGAAAGAAAAAGTACCTAACTAAATGATGTTTTGTGATCAGATCATATGACACTTATCAATAGAGACCCCACTTTATACATAGGTCAGGTTAGATTTAAATAGTTGGTTATTAGTTGCGCCAGTCCTGGAGGTCCTGGAGTGAAGTTCTGCAGCCACCTAGCATTTGTTTTAGCTTTTGGGATCTGATCTTGGCCGGTAGGAAAACGATTTCCTAGTTATTTTTTGGCTGGAAATTCCGTTGATATGCACCGAACGAGCATTATTGACTGCCTTCCAGCTTACCATTACAATTGGGGAGTGGAGTTGAGGGATGTGTGCGAGGATTGTCCACAAATAAGTTAATGCAAATAAAGATGTTCAAATATTTATGGTCTCACCTAAGAATTTGAATTTGTTTTTGATACTGTTATTTAATCCAATCCATACGATTTTTTTTCTCATTTTTGCCTGAAGAAAGGAGAGGAAGTTGCGGCAGATGCTCCATAAAATATGTTCGTCAATGTTCCTCCGTTTGAATGCTATATTTTCAAAAAACTTGAGCAAGAGCTAAAAATTATTGAACAAATTCCTTTATGTTCGAAGAAGGTTATTAGACATTTGCAACCTTTCTTTTTAAAAATTTGTGTTAAAGCTTATGCTTTAAGAAACTTGTTACTTTACTTAAATGTATTAATACTTTGTGTGTATTTTCTAATTTTTGTTGATACTTTTTAGGTTTTATTTGCCGACTTATTAAATAAATAGATACAAATTTACAATGCTTTAATTTTCATTGATTAGCTAAGAAATCTTAAGTCGAACATAAATACTATATATAGCATATATAAAATATTCGATTTGCCAATAGATATTCGAATTAAAAAAGAAAAAGCATACCTGCTTTTATTTTTAGGATTTTGTCTTAAGCTGCTCTTTTTCACCATTTACAACATTCGTGCAAATTATTGTTAATATCCAACGAAGCGCTAGTCTATGTTATATTTAAAAAGCATACTGATGGCTTGGGGTTAAAGGTGTACACCACGTATCCGAACGGTTAATGAGTATTTTAGAAAGTTTAAACGCCAAAGTGTACTCGTATAATACAGGCAGAAAGAGGCGTAGTACCAATCGATTAAAAAATATTTATATGTTTGTTCGGAGCAAGCGATTATCGGTCCGTCTGTATAAGCATCGATAGCTTTTGAACTATAGCAGCTAGGTATGTAGACTTGTCTTAAAAAATTCAATTCTTGTTCTCTTCCTTGACAATAACACGAAAGTCCTAGTCTAATTTTTAAGGGCAGCGTCACAAAGTCAGTAGCAACGCGAAAGAAACATATTGATTCTGTTTTCTGAAAGATCGAGCTTCATGATCTTTCCAAATCAAAAATTGATTTATTTTTTCAGATAAATGATTGTTTTCATCGACGAAAATTGTGTTTAAAAAATTTGCCCAAACTCCTTATATCTATCGAGAAGTAAATTATAAGCCTAACTGATTTTCAGAACAAATTTAATGCCTCTTCCATTTAGGACGAGATGTAAAATATCTATGCCTATAAAAAAGGGCAGCAGATCTACTAACTATAGTATATGCATGTGCAAAATACATTGTGTATAAACATACATAAGTATTTTGTAATCTAATGAATAAACCGTTTAAAAACATACATATATATCTGTACATATGTATGTAAGTATTAGAGTATGCATTTAAAAAAAATAAAGTCAACGATTGGTCGGTTTGGCACCAATGACCCGACCCTTTCACCATTAACGAAGCCCAAAGAAATACATATTTATATATGTATGTATGTATGTATGTACATATATAAATGAATGAAGTGTTCAAATTGCTCACTAATGGATGTACGCAAGGGTTAAGAGATGCCGAAGCAGAGCGCATTAACCCATTGACAATTGGCAATAATTGAATGTGGCAAAAATTCACTTCATTACAAACTCAGTGCCGGAAGAAGGGTGAAGCGATCGAACCACACGCCTCGGGCACCAATGGCTTAGGGCGTCAAAATGGCAATATCTTTGCCGCTTTTTGTAGCTCTAAGTTAAATATTTAAAGGGCTAGTTTGAGAGAGTATATGAATTCACTGTCCGTGTATTTTCCACACTCTGTAAAAACGTTCACAAGATTTTGTACAAAAACTTGTTAAAAACGCTCGTCAACATAATTTCTGAAGTTTTGAATTTCAACACACATTTTAAAGACAAAAAGAAGAATGGGTTGTCCACTTGATTCGCTGTGCAGACACCCAACACTTTAACAATATAGAATAAATAACTTTTTTTTAAATAAAAAATAAAATATAATGCCATTTTCGGTTCGAAAATAAAGTTCAAATTAAAAATCAAATTATAAGAATAATTTTATGAATAATATAAACGAAATCGGAATATTTTAGTGGCCATTATACATAGACTTGCTAGAACTAGTTATAAGAATTATTATTATAAATATGCGGCTACAGTGTCAGATTTGAAAATACAGAGTCGACATAAAAGAAAATAAGCAGGGACCGCTAATAATGATTATTTTGTTTTTTTATTTTAACGACAAAATCATTTATTTTGAGAAAGCGAGGTATATGCAGATGATTTTTATAATATGTACATGAGTATACTAGGTTGCGTGGCCCCACAAAGTATATATATTATTGATCAGCATGACAAGACGAGTCGATCTAGCCCTGTCTGTCTGTCCGTCCGTGAGTTGGAATACCAAGGGAGGTAAAATCGATCAACAAATTAATTAAAAATATTCGCGTTGACTCACTGATTAAGGATACATGCAAATTTTGTCCTTAATCCTTTTGGAATAGACAAATCTACAAATTGAGTTTTATTTTTGATCAAAAAAATAAAACTCAAAGAATTTTTTTTGCTCAATAGTGATTATTGGTTAATAATTAAAGCAAAATCAAAAATTAATCATTAATTTGTGAGTTTATAAAATAAAACACCATATACATAGTTGGTTTTTTTTTTAAATTCTGTGAATCATAGCATTAAGCTCAAAATAGGTTATTAAAACTTACCTATTTAGCAATTCAATAAAACTAACTATTTTACAAACATTTTGTTTTCAGGCGCTTGAACAGGCCCTATTGCGGCCCTGTATTCGCAGGCACACAAAATAAGCCGTTAAAATATATGAATGTATTTATGTACGAGTATGTAGGTAGAAACCACGAAAATATTTGTATGTGTACGTACAAACATACAAGCAACGGTCCGATAGTTTTTTGTTTTTGTTTTTATTTTTGGGTTATGTAATCCGACTGGCCGACTGACAAGGGTTTTGCAATATTGGGCTGTTGTTGTTGCCATTGCAGCTGGTGCTGCTGCTGCTGCCGTCATCACCAACAAAGTAACGGTAATCAACGAACAAACGTACGTACGAACGAAGCAAGCAAGCCACGAGCCGAGCCTGCGGCTATTTGCCAATTTTTGAATGAAGCTTACACACAGACTGAGCTTTGGCTTTACCTTTTACTTTCAATCAAACATGTTCGATTGCAACAAACGACGGGAATGAGAAACACACAATAGGGTCGAAATGTAATTGATAGTCATAATTACCACTAAACCCCTTTCTATACCTACATACATACATATATGCATTATCATCAGCCTAAATTCCAATTCCGACATTAAATTCAAATTTCATTAAAAATTCAAAACGGAACCGAAACAAAAAAAACGCACACAAAGCTTTGCAAAAGTTTTTGTGGTCGGTCGGTTGGTCGACGTCGCTGACGCCGACGCTTTTGCTGACACTGCTTCTTCTTCTTCTTCTTCTCGAGCGCGGTATAAATCTTTTCAGTTGAGTTTGGAACGCGTAACCGTTAAAACGTGAAAACCTCTTGGTGCGGAAGCTTTGTGTGAGACGTCGTTTGTTTTTGTCGCTTGTTGTTTTTGGTTTTTGTTGTTTTTGTTGTTGTACTACTATAAGCATTTCAGTTTGTCGCTTCGTTCGTTTTCGCCTTTTGTCGCATTTTTGCATTTCCGATCAAAAGAAAACAAACGAAAACCTTTTATTTGTTTGAAAACTGCGAACAATATGCAGCAACAACGACGTTTCCCAATAGGCGTCCTCCTGCTCCTGGCCATGGTTTCCTGTGGTAAGTTAATATCAAACAAATAATATAAATATACGTATGTATATTATTACGTACAATATACACATGTGGGCGTCACTTTCAATTGTTGCCTGTTTGGCGCGGATTCGTTTGACTGATCACTCCAGCTTGGAGTCCATTGCGTGCGAGCTTTTACTTTCAAAAATTCCATTCGAAAATTTGCAGATTGGCGCGCGGCCGATTGGCTTCGGCTGTAAAAGGTTCCCAGCTATTAGTTTTGTTCTTGCATTAGTTGTTGCTATTGTTGTTGTTTGTGTTATGTAAGCCAACTAGATCCAGTTTAAATATATCGCTGGCCTACTGGTTTGCTTTTGCAGTCGTCGCCTCTCCACCGCCATCCTCCAATCTGTGAAGGCTAAGTCAAGTTTTAAAGTGTGTGTTTGATTTGAAAGACCGTTTCTGCTCCAATTAGCAAACACCTAACCTTGAAGTCTTTGAAGTGTGGCTGTTGCTATTCTTCTTGCACCGCCACACCACCATCACCATCACAACCATCACCACCTCCATTGTGTTCATTTGGCATGCTGGTCAGGCGTCGGCCCTGGCTTTAATAGGCAGACAACTTTTGCTTTTGTTGCCGCCAATAACTGACTATTCTGACTCATAATTGGGGTTCAGGCTGGGTTGTTGATATTTACGATAATATCTCGATATGCAAATTATTGAAACAGGTAGGTTCCCAAACCCGATTTCGCACTCAATCAAATGAAAGAGCAAACATTTGCATTCAAAATATTTAATTTCTAGTTCCAAGAAACTTGTCTATTAGTTCCCTAAGCGCAGCAAATAGAACCGGCACACAATCAACTTTATAAAACCAAGATCCAAGTTAAATGAATTAAAACATTATCGTTACAAAAACACCATAAGAACGTGTTCGCTGCTATATTAGCTGTATGATTTACCGCACCGATTTCGGCCAGGTTTCAGAATATACTTGTAGTAACTAACCAAATATATTAACAGCAGTTTCGGGAACCATAGCGTGATACAAGGCCTGTTTTCGCACAAATAGTTTATATGAGAACTATAAGAAATAGTATTGCGATGTTAACAAAACTTCAGTATATAAAAGAACCTTATATAAATAATTAAAATTGAAATTAAATGTGATTTTGTCGCCAAACATTCTTTCGGTAGTTATATATATAATTGATATTGTACTGCGATCTTAACAAAAATTTCAGAATATAGTAGGAGTAGTTTATATTAATGTTATAAATATTAACTTTGGTTAATTCATCGTTGAAAAAAAGTTGTGCCAATTTTACTATGGGAGCGATTTTTTCAGTGATCTCTCCTATACGATATAGTCAGCCGATTATAATGAAACATAACATGTTATAATGCTTTATATGGTTTGTAATAAACTTCATATAAATAGGAATAAAACCTTGTTGTTATGGTACAACAGTAGTAATTAGTTCTAATTAATTGTTTCTTGACTAAACATCACGAATTGTTAGTTTCAGGCCATAGTATTATTTATTGGGCTTAATATTTTTGTACCCAAATAGTTTCAGGATTCGAAGAATATAAAAAGTCAAGTCTTAGACGACAAATTTTAATTTTAATTTTTTTTTAGTCGGATTCAATCTACTTGGCCGCATTTGAATCGAATTGAAAAGACAGCTGACAAACCTTTAAGACAGACAGATCAGATTTTTGTGGGCTGGTCAAACCAGTTAATAATTAAAGAAAAAAAAAAAACCAACAACAACTCGCACAAAATATGCGATCTAGATCGTATAATGCGCATACGTATGAAGTTAAACGAAAGACAGTAACAACAAAGCTATTAACATTTTAAACATTATCATTGTCTTTGCTGCCCAAGCCTCGGACCTGTTTTTTTTTCGAATTCGTTAAGTGGCGGGGCAAGAAAATATCTCATGGGAATAGAGACAACAACAACAACAACAACGAAAAACGTTAGCTGTTCAACAATTAACAGCAACTTGAAAAACTATTGACATGCTCGCTGTTCGTGGCAAATTGCCGGAAATCTTCGAAATTTCCATACGCTTCTTTCTTTCAACGATCCGTTGAAAATAATGTGTTGTGGGAAGTCAAAATCACAATCACAATCATAGTTGCCAACACCATCGCCGTCACAACAATCAACCTGTTACCGGAGCGTCGGCATTCCAATCAGACGACGCGACGATTACATCACACATCAGAGTCGCCTCAGAGTCGAAGATGCGCGCCGATGCGACGCGACGCGACGTATTCACGTTTGATGCGCCTCGGCCTCAAACCAGTTGCACGCTGTGTTGCAACCTGTGGGACGGAAGAAAAGCGCTCGACGCAGTCATTCGCTGCATGAATGATGTGTCTGCGCATGCGCGCATTCGCAGACGAGATTCGAGTTACCAAATCGAATTGAAAACCGGGGCTGGAACAGTCTCGATGGGCGCTCAAAGCGATTAAGAAATTTACCTTTTCTCATTTATTATTTTTCTCAATTATTCAATTCTTTCGGCGTATTCTTGCAAGATCTAATTTGTCCGAATTTTTGTTAAGAAAACTCTATATAGGATGTGAGTTACTAATTTTTGTGTATGTTATAATTTCGTAACATGGAAAATTTAGACAAGATGCGAGTTACCAAATAATATTTATAACCAGGCTTGTAACAGTCTCTCCAGTACAGCGAAAATATATATTTATACAATACTATGTGTGGATATGTAAAATTTGAGACGCGGCACCGAAGACAATTATGGGAACGTTATACTTGTATTTGCCACAAGTTCCAAAGTTTCCGATCGATATTTTCATCGAAGCAAAAATCTTAATTATGGCATCCATATGTATAGTATTTAAAGCGTGGGTTTTGACTGCATGGAAACATTTATTAAGTCGTTTTACTTTAAAAGTACGAACAATATTACCTAGAACGAACTTTTGAAATGTAATACGTTCTCGAAATATTGGGAATAATAAGCTCTCTTTTTAAACGGGATGAAGTATTATACTCTTTTTTAGGCACTGTGCTTAAGACTCTCTCAAGAAAATATAAAATATTAACCAATTTTTAAATTGTATACCTACGTTTTTTTCGCTTGTTTTACAGATTGCTGTTTTTACCGATAGAATTAGAATTAAGTTGTTTTCCTTGAAACTCTATAAAAAATCATTTTTGACCAAATTCTGCGAATGGTTGGGTTAGGTTTCACAGTTAGCCTTTGACTGTCAATTCCTTGAATTTTTGGGTATTGCCTTAGATACGTTATGCCTATTCACCTTTCCCAATCCAATTTATTTTTCAGGACACACACTAGCTGTGGGCACACCTGAGTGCCCCGAAAAGGTGGGCACCCAGGCCTATGCGCATACTGAAAACTGTGATCAGTTCTTCCTCTGCACGAACGGCACCCTAACCCTGGAGACCTGTGAGAACGGTTTGCTCTTCGACGGTAAGGGAGCGGTACACAATCATTGTAATTACAATTGGGCTGTGGACTGCAAGGGACGGCAGTGGGATCGTAAGTGTGGAATGAAAATTTAAAAATTTCTCGCTTATTTCGCCTAATTGTTCATTTCGTGCCACAGCCACACCCATTTCGACGCCCGGCTGCGAGTATCAATTCGGTCTCTATGCCGTTTCCAAGGACTGCTCCACCACGTACATAAAGTGCGCTCATGGGGAGCCCCACGAGCAGGACTGTGATGCCGGTCTGGCCTACGATGAGCGCATTCATGGTTGCAACTGGCCCGATCAGCTATTGGAACACTGCAACCCTGAAGGTGAGTTGCCACTCTATGCTGTACTCCCCGAAACAAACCGTATTAAAATTAGGAAAAAATTAAAAAAAAGCAAGCTTAATTTTGTTGAAAGGTTTATGGTCTTAAAAAAAAACCATTTCTTAAAAGACAATTTTTCATCCTGGCTATATCTCTATAATTCAGAAACGTATTTCATGACAGTTTAAAGGCAATTTCTTAAAATATGGGAAACGTATTATTCTAACATTTAGAAAATGTGTTTTTCTAAAGCTTAGAATATGTTTTTTTTTTAAACTTGAAACTATTTTTTTAAGATCTAGAAACTACTTGTATTTATATTTGTAAGTAATTCTAAAAAGTGTTTCCTTTTCTTTAATCTATAAAATGCATTTTTTTTGACATGAGAGCCACTCCGTAGTTTTTTATTTCTAATGCACTCTCTCGTCCTACAGCTGTTGTTGGCTTTAAGTGCCCCACCAAGGTGGATCCAAACTCTGTGGCCGCGCGTTTCTGGCCCTTCCCGCGCTTCCCCGTTTCGGGTGATTGCCATCGCCTGATTACCTGCGTTGAGGGATACCCCCGCCTGATCAGCTGCGGCGAGGATAAGGTTTTCGATGAGAACACGCTAACCTGTGAGGAGCCCGAGTACGCTAGCGGTGGTTGCGCCAACTACGGCAAGTAGTTGTTTAGACCCGCACACACACACACAAACACACTTGTATATATGTATGTATCGCTGCTTGGTTCGTGGTTGGTTGCAAATATGTAAATCCCCCTTTTTAACGCTCCTGATCCGGTCAACTTATTTTACACAACTCTGGATGTATATGTCTCTCCCGCTGTGTTCTCTCTCTCTCTCTCTTTCTCTTACACACAAACACACTCCTTGTCTCTGTCTGCCTTTTTATACCGTTTAAAGTGTTGTAAAACTATTAATAATATATAAATACATTTTTTGTTTTGTCTTTTTTTTCGCCATGAGCTCAAATCGTAATAAAGTTAAATTTATTTATTAAAATATTTTGAAAAAACACTAGAAAAACTTTTGAATACCTTGACCAAGTGGGGGAAGGGGGTGGAGGAATGGTCAGTTTAGTCCACCAAATGGCGAGCATGATCCTGCGGAGCAGAGAATATGATGGCATAGATGAGACCATCACGCACTGACTCCGACGGATTTCCCACATTGAACATGAATTTGACGCGATTGCAGATGGCATCGGGGACACAGGAGTACATGGGATACCAGCCGATCTTGTTGAAGACCACATATATCTTATAGATCTGATTGCGATAGATATACACCGGCCGATCGAATGTGATGTCCAGCAGCGAATCGTAGCGTACACGTGCCGTACAATGTGTGTAAGTAATGCGAGAGCCGTGCATATCCTGGATGTGGGCGTACAGCACTTCAGTGTAGCGTTCGGTGAAGCCGGCCGAGTTCATTAGTTCGCCGCACAGTACCTGTGTTGGCACCTGCACGCCGGTGATCCAAATATTCGTGTCCACCTGGAAGGTAACGCCGCATTCGGTGACGCTGGTGTTGCGATAATCGAATTGCCGATTTAGAGAGCGCATGCAATAGGAGCGGAGCATGTCATGATGGGAGCTGCTTGATGCGCCAGCGGCAGGTTCCGTGTCATTAGAATTGGCCGGCACTCCATTGGCAGATGCGTGAGCGACACGGCTGCTTGCATTAGAGGCCTCGAAAGCATCTCCAAAACAACGCAGAGTGGCATTTGAATTTCCTAAAGCGCTGCTGCTAGCGCTGGTGCTACTCTGTGCCATCGGATTGTCGGAGACACTGACACCCATCGCCAGGGCGTTGTCATCCGAGAAAAATGTAGCATTCACCGGCATATTGATGTTCTCCACACTGAGTGGCACGCTGGTGCGCTGCAGAGTGGCTCCCATGCGACCGAGCAGGCCTTGATTTGCCATTGTCATGCCAGTGCTGCGACCGGCCGTGCCCGGAAAGCAGGTGGCCGAGGAGCTGGCGGCGGTGGCACCTACATGCCGATACGAGGCCGGTAGCTCACGCTGCCGATGCGCCGACTCATAGAAGTTGCGGGTGCTGCGCGATGTACAGAAACCCTCGGGCATGTTGCAGTCGTTCAGTGTCGGGCTGGAGATCTTGATCAGTATGGCCAGGGCCTCGTGTTGCTGCAACAATTTGGAGCGTGCTGGTCCCTCGGCGAATTGTTGGGGGGTCATAGTGAGGAAACGTATCTTCTTCACTGCCTGCCGCAGCATGGCACCATCCATGATCGTGCGCTGTGCGTCCATAATGTTGATCATGTTGGCTGCAGCTGCTGCCGCCTCAGCTTCGTTCATCTCATCGTTGGCATTGCCAGAGGCATCGCTGTCTATTATGACCACATCATCGACAATAGCACTTACATTGGCATTGGATGTTGAGGGGGATGTGGATGAGTTGGATGCGGCCGCTGTTGCTGCCGTTTCCGCCTGTTCGGCCACATGATCAAAGCTGTCTACGTCATCGTCGTGGTGCATGTGCTGCACCATTGCAGCCACGTCTGGCTCCATTTTGATTTCCTCCACTACCACCTCGTTGGCTATGCCACCGTCGTCGTTACTCTCTTTGCAGCCGTTATCCTTGTCGGCAGTGCTGCGACTGCTTCCGGCTATGTCATCGTGGGCGCTCTCGTTCAGAATACCACGCTCGCTGGCAAATTTCAGCAGACAGTTGAACAAATCTAGCTCGGAATCGATGTTGAGTCGGTTTTGATCTAAAATAGCCATTAGCGTCGACACTTCTATATCTAGGAAGCTGGGATCGGTCAACACCTCGCGCGTATTCGCCGCTATCAGATCCATGCTGCTCTGCATGAGACGTGGCTCGTCAAATAGTTTCGCGAATTCGTAGGCGCGACATGCGTTCTTGGGACTGAGATCCGCCCAAAGAAAATGGGTGCAGCGGGTCACCACATGTGGCAGCATATATTTCTTGGCCACGTAGCACAGCTCACATGCCTTGTCGAAGGAGGCGATGGTAATGCGATCTGTGTAAATATATTCGAGCATCGCTTCAAAAGCTTCAGGCTGCACGTCTGGTATAACAATGGGGTCAGTCTTGTCCGGAAGATGTCCGTAAAACATTCGCTCGAACACGGGCGAGGCCATCGCCAGCAGCAGCTTGTGGCCAGAAATGAGGCGCTGGTTTGGCGTTGTGCCCACAAGAAAACGACAGTCGGCCCATTTTTCTGAATGCAATAAATACTGACCGCGGTCCTTAAGTTCTGTTAAACTGTTTTGCCAATCGAGGTCCATACCGATATCTACGCTAATTGTAGGTGATCGGCACTATTTAGTTAAATAACATTTGCACACTACATCCAATTGTTGTCAGTGTCGCAATTTGTTTTCTCTTGCGCACCACCAAAAACAACAATTTTATTGCCAAATGTAAATGTAAATAGAGTCGAAATTGTGTTCAGAGTTGTTCTGAAATCGATGTAAAAGCTATCGCGCTGTTTTAATATCGAAATTGTTCATCAGACGAGACTGAGATTTGAAAATAAACTATTGTAATTTGTCAATAATGTATATATATCAAGACTATATGCATAGATCTAAAGAGTGTTGTATAAAGTAAAGAATAAATTGTATACACAGTGAAATTTAATTCGATGTGAAATCTGCAACCAAATAATTAAATAAACTAGAAGCAAATATGCCTTTGTTTGAGCGATTTTACGAATTGTATATATGTATATTTAAAAATATAAGTTTTTATATGAAAAATAATAAAATATATTTGTATTGAAGCATAATAAGCTTTTCTATTATTGTATTTAAATAAAATTAAAATGCTATATATTAATAAACTTGCATTTGTTAATGTGTATGGCTGTTAATTTATATTTTTGTGATAAATTTAGTGGGTTTGGTGCTAATTGTAGTTTTGAATTTGAGAAATGCTGACAGCCGGTTGCCAGCGCCATGAGCAACTGTTATCGATTCCCGTCCGATGAATATATCAACGCATATTGCAACTTGTCAGCCCTGGTGTAGTTTTTCTGCATCGTTTTTTATATTGATAGCAACAATTGCGTTTTTAACTTTGAGAAAATTGAGTAGCTGTGTTCAAATAAAATAAAAAAGTCTGCAACCAACTGTTTATATCGTACATGTGTGCATCAGTAATAACACAAACAACACAAATCCGCAACAATAATTCAATATAATATACATACATATACTAAAGTTGTTTGTCACCTGTGTGTTGTGTGTATGTGCTTTGTTCCATAGGCTGTGCTTCACTGTGTGCGTGTGTGTTGTGCGAGTGCGTGTGTGAGTGCGTGTGCGTCTGTGCGCGTGCCGTAACTTGAAATGGCAAAGAAAACTTATGATTTGCTCTTTAAACTGTTGCTAATTGGAGATTCGGGCGTTGGAAAGACCTGCATATTGTTCCGATTCTCGGATGATGCGTTCACCTCAACATTTATATCAACCATAGGTGAGTACTGAAACACAACTAAATTCATACAACATGTGTGTGTCTGTGTGTGTGTACGGATGTGTGCGCGTTACGAGCAGCGGTATTTTGCGGTCTTTATTTTTGATGCATCGCCCAGAACGGGAAGGATATCTGCTTGCTCTTGGGTGTGGTTGGTCGGTCGGTTTCTTATCGCCGCTGCTGCTGCGTTCCGCTTTAGTCATTGTCTCTGCCGTTGTTCGCCTGCGTTTGCTGTCATTGTAGCGGCACACCCACATACATACGGTGTATGTGCATATACATATATCTACATATATATATATATATATGTGTGTGTGTGTGTATGATTGATAAATAAGTGTGTGCATAGGTATATGTATGTGTGTATATCCATTCGGGCAGATTGACCGCTGCTCTATTAGCCTTTGGACCGCTGACAATGACATTGGTGCCAATTACAATCATAGACACTCATACATACATACATATGTATGTAGATACAATCATCTCCATGAACGCAATCGGGTATAATTCCATGTTTAGCGAGATCAATACGATAAATATTGAGAATCCATGTGATTTATATTAAGCATTAGGCCCTCCATTTCGCTTATATAAATTCTGCATACATACATGTACGTACATATGTATGTATGTTTGTATACATTTATGCAATATGAATCGTACGTAAATGAAATTCTTTGTTTTATTTACCACTTATTTACATACATACGTATGTATTTCTGGCATCTCTGGCAGTCTCTCTATGAGCACTCATATTGTGCTGCTTAGGCAAACAATTTGCTGGCTATCATTATACTTACTTGTAATCTCAAGGTTACATATTTTTAAAGAACCGCATACAGTCGTCCCTCCCTTGCCCTACCTCTTCACCACACGCACGCATTAGTCAGAAGTTCTAAATAAACATTGCAAAGTTGTATTAAACTAATATCGCTGTCAAGAATTTCCCCTCCTTATGAAATGCAATCGTTTCTAGTTATTCATTTATGTTCAAACCTTATATCAAAATTAAGATTAACAAAAAATTGGGCCGCACAAAAATATAACTTATTTTGTATTTTATTTTTGTATGCATTTTATACCTTTTTTATCTTAATATTTACGGTTTGTTTTTATTATTTTAATATAATTATTTCTTTATATGCTTTTTGTGATACAAGTAAATTTCGTTATACATACATATGTTGTCATTTGATTCGTTGAATCATTTATTTTTATTTTCATTCCATATTTTTGTTTCTATTATGTAAATAATACATATGTATCTTGTTAAATTTATTATTTATTTTTTTGTTCATATTTTTTAATATTCAATATATTTTTCTTTTTTTTATATTTTAATTTTTTACATGTTTTTAAGACATTTCCTTCAGTGGCTGTAATTGAATCTTTGAATAGTTTTACTTTGTTGCTTACAAAAAGAAGATATGATCCTCGAAAAATCACAAATTTTGTCTGCATTTAAACCAAATAAACTGTTTTTGGTGCCACTTCTTCTTAAAAAAAAAAAAAACAAATGATGGATATTATTTTTATTAGTTATTATTATATGCATGATCTTGATCTGCTGCTATTTCGTTGTTTTGCAGGAATCGACTTCAAAATAAAAACAGTCGAGCTCAGAGGGAAGAAGATAAAACTACAAATATGGGACACTGCCGGTCAGGAGAGATTTCACACAATTACCACATCCTATTACCGTGGAGCGATGGGCATTATGCTCGTTTACGATATAACGAATGAGAAGAGTTTTGAAAACATTGTAAAATGGTTACGAAATATAGACGAGGTGAGTGTTTAAATGAAATGATTAGCCAGTCGATTCAATTTCAAAATTCTACTCAAAAACGGCAGCATGCAAATGAGGATGTGGAGAAAATGATATTGGGAAATAAGTGCGATATGTCGGATAAGCGTGTGGTTAATAAAGAACGCGGCGAAGCGGTAAGTAAAGATTGGAGAAAATTGTTTCTCTATGGTTTATGATAACGTTATATTTTTAGATCGCACGTGAGCACGGAATTCGTTTTATGGAGACATCCGCCAAATCGAATATTAATATTGAGCGAGCATTCTGCGAACTTGCCGAGGCCATATTAGATAAAACCTCTGGACGTGAATCGGCCGAGAATCCGGAACGTGTGGTCATTGATCGTAAAAACAATGACAAGGCGCCGGGCTATAACAAATGCTGTGCGTAAGGGCAGCAGTTAAAAACTGTGTGTACCAGATACGAGCGAAGCAATACTTATAAAGAGGGGTACATGCCACGCCCAGCGCTGTACAAAACAAACATTTATTGGACAAAGATGTTACAGCCGTGTCTGCCAAGATTATAAACAAAACAAAATAGCAAGCAACAGAAACAGCAATAGAAAATGGAAACAGAAATAGAATTATCAGATAGATGGATGGATGGGAAAAAAAAGAATGAAACAGCAACCAAGAAACAACCTACCTAAAGTTTAATATTGTATAACAAAATTTATAGATACTTTACCTAAAACTACTACAACAACAACAACAACTACTATTTAAAGTGCGATCTAGAAATACAATGTACGTTGTTTAAAACGCACAACAAGTCGACAACAGTTTTGACCAATGTTAGTAGAACGAAGGGCTTAATTAAGCATTTCTAATCAAATCCAACACAGAGCTGAGGACAGAGAGACGACACCCATATCTGTACTTATATAACTCTAATAACTATATGCTTAGTTAGACAGACACATACAAACTACATACATACATACAGACTTAAATTCAAAACCAACTCAAAACTCATTCACACGCACGCGACTTACTCTCTCGTACATGAAATGTATTTGTATATGAATTATTAAAATGTTGTAAGAATGTTTACGATACAACAACAAATAACAACAAACAACAACAAATGAATATAATACGTTTTTTGGGGCTATGTTTTTTTGAGCGCTTTAGCTTCAAAAGTAACAAGACAAACAGAATATTTATATATGTATTTGTAAAAGTATCAAACATTTTGTAATGCAAAGAAAAAAAGTAAACTAAACAAAATTAAAAACTAAAAAGCTGAAAAGCAAGCAAGCTTTCGCATTTGTTTTGTCGACGCGCTTCGTTCATTTCATTGTTATTATTCTAATTATTGGTTTTCTTTGCGGCTTTCAACTGTTTCTTCATTCGAAATATATACGAGTATATATATATATATATAAATATATGCATGCTATAGTCGAGCTTTAACATAAGTTCCATTATTCATAGCCATATGCACAATATTGTACGATTATGTTAATATTTTTCCAAAAAATTACAAGCAATTGCAATTATTAATAGATAGTTCAGCGTGGATTATAAATTAGAAGGTGTTTCCTAAAATTTCATAAAATCATAAATGTGCTACAAAAAATGTGTTAATTTAGTTTATATCAAGAAATCAGTTGCTGCATCTGAAGCTGCAAAGTTTTTTTTGTTATAAAGAAATATATTATTAAAAAAATTTCAAACAAAAGCTCTTATTAAATATTTTGTGCTTTTGTATTCAGTATTTCCATAACAATGTCTCTAATGCATTTTCAATTGTGCCTTTTGTTTATATTGCATATTTTAAATGTAGATTTTGTTCTATTTTATTTTGTCACAATTGAAAAGAAATATGTTAAATGCTTTTAAATTAAAAAAAAACATATGAAAATTGAAATACTTGAAATATTTAAAATTTTATTTGCTGGAAATGCGCATAAAGAAACGTCTACCATATCCCCAATATTGAACCATAATTATGGCAATAATGATGATCAAAATCGTACAGCTGTTGCAATTATTTATTATTAAGTATTTGGGAAAAATGTGTGCATAATACCTGCATTCAAAATTGTAATATGTTGCTTAAAGTCTTTTCCATTTGTTGCCTAAAAATAGTGCACTTCTATTGCAAATTTTTGTGAGAATGTTAAAAGTTTATCGAAACTAAGTTGCGGCGACAAAACAAAATTCCTACAAATCAAAATTTGTTGTTATAATGCCAGAAATAACTTAAAAACAAAAGCTTATCTATACATGCATACATTTGTTTATTATTTTCGTTAACAATAAACACGCGCTCTGTTTCATAATTCATTAATTTTTGTATAAAAATTGTTGATGCCTTGTTCAGACTTGCGAACAATAAGTATTGCCAGGAAATGTCGTTCAATGTTCATCATCGCATCGTATTTTCTAAACCGTTTATAGCCAAATATACAACGATACAGTTTTTGTAGATTGTCTTTATTGGTAATATGAACTATTTAATAGTTCGAACAAGGCATGAAATTGAAGAAAAGGTCGCGCAATATTGAGGATATACGAGTATATATATAATTTTTTCTTAGCCTTTGGCCAAGCTGCTACATCATTATATGTAATTTTTTTTTTTTTGTATAACTACTATTATTATAATTATTATTTGTAAATGTATATGGATTTAGCGTAGTTGTCCACACCAAATGATTTAAATTTTAAAATATAAAGAACCATTTGAAATATCATATTAAAACAAAAAGCTAAAGCGTTTGTTGGGAATGGGTTTTCTTTACGGAATGCAACGAGAGATTTGTTCTATGCGCGATGCACGCAAATGCCCGCTATATAGGTGGAAAGGACATGCAATTTGTCGTCCAGCAGTATGAAATCGGCATCCGAGTCAAAGTCCAGAGTGCCTTTTTGTGCCTCGATGCGCAGACACAGCGCCGGATGCAAGGTGGCCGCCTCAATGGCATAGACGGTGGAGCAATCTACAGAGATTGGCGGGCATGGATTAGGTTTACAATTAGCTTTTATGATGACGACTTACTGGTGGCATTGCGGAATATGCGCACGCACTCATCCATTGGCGCAATGCTGCCGCAGAGCGTGTCTGTGCCCGCCACAAACGCCTTGCCTCGCTTCACCTCCAAGGGCAGCTGGCCGATGTGATGAATGCCATCCTCTAGGCCCAGCGCTGAAATGGCATCCGTCACAAGTATCAGTCCTTGGGGATGGGTGCGATACGCAATGCGTAAGGCGGCGGGATGCGTGTGAACACCATCGGCAATGATGCCGAAATAAACCGTCTGGCCAGCGGGTATGGCGTCTGAGGCTAGCAAGCCGACTAGGCCGGGATCACGATGATGGAACTGGCCACGGCAGGAAGGCGTTTAGTACGAATACGAATCGTTTGCAGACTAAGTCGAGGCTATCTCACCGGCAGCATGGCGTTGAAAAGATGTGTGATGAGTGTGGCTCCGTGCTGGGCCGCCTGCTCGCCCTCGCTCAGATTGGCCATCGAGTGGCCCAGGGCGACGGTGATGCCCGCCTTCACCAGTTGGCGTATCACGCTCAGATCCTTGACCTTCTCGGGCGCCAATGTGATGATTTTGATGCCATCTAATGAGCCGTAAGTAGCACACAACGTTTCGATGCCCTAAACAGACAAATCTGTATCCAATCTTAAGCTATTCTGAGTTGCTTACATTCTCCAGCGTTTGTATGCAGTTCTCGGGATGTGCGCCCTTCTTTTGCGGATTTATGAATGGTCCTTCCACGTGAACACCCAATACGCCGGCACCACCCTCCACGCGTTTGGGTATGCGCGGCAATATGGTGTGATAGTTCTCATTGGGTGATGTCACCAGTGTCGGACAGAATGAGGTGACACCGCTCTTGACCAGCCCCTGCGCCACCTTTCGTATACCCGCCTCGGTGGTGTCTTTGTCGAACGAGAAGTCAACGCCATAGCCCCCTGTTAATGCGAAAATTGGTTTGTTTTCATTATTATTATTAATATTTGTGTGCTTTGTTTTATTGAGTGCGTCTGTAAGTGGGCGATAAGATTAACGAGCAGATTGCGGTGCATCATTTAGTTTGGCAATGGCACGCTTTTATTAATGAAAATATAATTCTGGACCTTGGCCCACCATCCGGCAGCGAAATTGGTTTAAATTACCATTAATTTGCAGATCTATATAGCCTGGGGCTATAATGGCACCGCCACAATCTACCCGTCTGTGCGCCTTGGAGCGCTCATCAAAGAATATCGGTTCTGGATTTATTATTTTTCCCGCGCGCACCCACAGATCGTCTTCAATGAGCTGATGGTTTCGCACCAAGCGGCAATTTGTGAATTGAATTAAATCATCACAGTTGCAGGCGGGCGGATTCGGTTTCCCAGACATCGTAAACAACAAGTGTGCAAAACGTAAATTGACGCAAGCACGGAATTAATTAAAAATAAACGAAAACAATAGCGAAAACGACAACGAAAACTACGAACAACAGCGCGACCTGCGCCAACAAATAATATTAGGCAAATGATTGCTATTCGCTTCAAATGCTTAAATAAATAGGCGAGCGAGCATCTGTTCAACGGAACTGCCAGCTGCGGTGTCATGTGTTCGTGCTCGGCCGTTCAAGTGATTAAATTATCGTTATCGGTTAGTCGATGATGCCGCTACCATAAAAAATATGAAAATTTTAAATGAATACAATATAAATGTTTGAGAGTGAGATTTGATTGTCGATGTAAATATGTAATGACATTTTAAAAGTCATTATAATAATAACAATACTGTAATCCCGAGTCGGATTAGTTATAACAATAGATATTTTTGTAATTTAATTAAGCTTTCTCATACTTAGTTTAATTTAGTTAAAGTTCTATAGTGTATTGTATTGATTTTATTTTTTTACATCAAGAGCTTTGTCTATAATAAAAGTTCTATAAAATTTGTTTTCTAAAGTAGGATTTGATATAGGAGAGATGGAAGCTGAGTGTGTTGGGAAATTAGATCTGTGGTTGGAAAGGAATGGGTAGGACGTGGGATTATGGAGTATATTATCTGTAGGGCCTATGGTCAATGTTGATAATTTCTGTATAGTCGGATCGATATACTGTATATTAGTTATGTCTGTTATTAAGTTTAGTAAATGCTTACAATTTTCAAAGTTGTGCTTTCTTTTACTTATAAATAATCTCCGCATGTGCTTAGTTATTTCCTTTTCTTTTTATACCCTGTACCCGTAGGGTAAAAAGGGTATATTAGGTTTGTGCAAAGTATGTAACATGCAGAAGGAAGCATCTCCGACCCCATAAAGTATATATATTCTGAATCAGCATGACGAGAGAAATCGATCTAGACGTGTCCCTCCGTCTGGATGAACGCAAGGATCTCAGAAACTATAAAAGCTAGAATAACCAAAGTTGGCATCCAGATTCTCCTAGGTCCGAGAAAGGACGAGTTTATTTTTTTATTAATTTTCCCCCCCTTCCCCCGCTACAGAATTTCGTCAATAGCGTCCACATTTCAAATGCTACCTAAACCAAACTTTGCACACATAATTTATATATAATTGTCTACTGTTGTTCAAAATTGTATTCAATTCTCGCCAGTACAATCCCCAAACTGCAGCAACAAGTTCGCTCTTCTTCTTCCTCTTTTTGCTGCTGCTATGGGCGCATATAACTCAGTGACGGAAGTTTACCTGGGTACAGGGTATTACACTGTCGGGCTTGCTCGACTGTAGCGTTCTCTCTTGCACCTATTTTTAATTGCAAAGGCGCTTGATTCGAATAGCATACTATTAATGTGGGGTGGTTCGAGAGGCATCGAAAGCTGTCCTGATAGCAGCATCTTGAATGATTACAAGTCTTCTTAGCTTTAGGGGCATTTATTCCTTACATAGCAATGTAATTTCGAATGGCCTTGCAATGACGATTATAAAAGTATATCATAATTTATGATAGGTTTGTGGCGTTTTTGTGGTTTTGCCAAATGAAATACAAATTTTGAAAATTTGGTGAAGCGATAGACGCAGCCACGGGTGTGATAATCTTTGCGGTTCAACTTTTGGAATGAAAGCGGCAATTTGCCAGCCACTGCGCATTTGTTTTTATCTCTCTTGGGCAAAAGTTTTTCCACGAGCAGGCAGGCATTCATTTCCATTATCTCTGGTCGGCGCTTAATAAAACTAGCTTAATGACTCTGCAAATATTAGCTTTAAATTTGCTTCAAATCGGCCCAAAATCTCTGCCGGCGTCATAAATAAGCACAGAGTGGAAGACCGATTACCCACAAGGGGGAGGGGCCGGCAAGCTTGGGCTGTTGTCATGGGCAGCCCTTTGATGGAAAATGAGACTAAAGCTCAACGAGCACCCGAAAAGCAGAGAAAACCAAAAAGTGCGTCCAACTTATAATTAGTTGATATAAAAGTTGTGAAAAAAGCACAAACATACACACACATATTACACAAATAATATCAACCATGGTATTTACATACATACTATACGAGTATGTGTCCTGCCTAGCCCTGCAGTTGTTTCTCGAACTAGATAAGTAGCCTTTCACTTAAGAGTTTAGCCTTGCCATTGCTTGCAATGGTTCGCGAACTAGTTCCCTGGGCCCGTACTCGAAGCACGACAAGCTCTCTCAGTGGGAGGTGTGGCCGAACTGATAAAGTATATGATCAGTATGACGAAAAGAATTGATAGAGACAGGTTTGTGTCAGTCTGTTAGACTGTTCGACTGTATGAACACCGAGCACCATCGCAACATCACTGCTAGGAATACCAAACTTGGTATATAGGCCAGTCTTGTCTATACGCATATCTACTATAGGACATATCGGTACCAAAAACACTCACACTACATTTATAGTAGTATCTAGTAAATTCATGTACATATGTAAGTATATAGCATAGAAAAGATCGGTGATCGATCAGTCTTAGTTATGAAAATGGTTCTGTTTATGTCGCTAACTTAATAAAAATATAAATAAAATTAAATTATATTTGAGTTGTGCACAATAATCCGAAGTATCATTCAAATCGGTTGACTATATAATATAGCTGTCATCGGAAAGACTGGCATACCAAAGTTTATTTATTTAAGCGGGAAAAATGTCGGTTAAAGATTATTTCTATTATGGAAAGATAATACCTGTTTTATCATCCCAAACATGAATGTGTTTTAAACTTTTCGCAACTGGTTGGATTGGTATATGTATTTTGCTCAGTTAGGAATCTTCTGACCGTAATTAATTAAATTTTATAATCTCTATCTAAAGAAGTAACCGGTTTTGTCAGTAGTTGGATTTGTTTTCGTCTCATATTACATTCTTTCTTCTTTTAGAAGAATGAATATCAATTTTTGCAAAAAAAACTAAGACATTTTAAACCATTTTTTTTTGGGGTTAACAAGCACTCGGTGTTCGGAGTGTGCCAACTCTTGCTAAAATGCTGTGTGTAGAGAGCCTTCCAGGCAGCCCGAATCAGAAAATACGATTACACTTATGTTTGCGTGTAATTGCGCCCCTTTTTATGCGTCGCCTTTGTGGCTGAATCCTGCGAAGTGTAATGACTTTTTCGGGCTTGGGCCAAACTTGTTACTGCGCGTGTATTTACAAAAAAGAAAAAGAAAAAAATGGAAGCGAAAGAGTTAGAGAAACCCTGTCATCACGTTATTATTTTTTTGCTTCTCTAATATTTTGATTTCAACTGCATCGAGTCCCTTTTTTTTCGGAGCTCCGCTTTCAATGTATGCGTGGATTTCAATAATTTAAGATTTCGCTCCACGAATATGTGTGGTTTCGGTGGCTGCTTTGTCGGTTTTTCTCTGATCTCCTCAACACATGTTGCACTACAAAATTATTATTGCGGTGTGTGTGTGTGTCTTTCTGTGTGATTTTGCAAAATGTTTTATTGCTTTGTTTTCAAAAGCAGCAGCAGCAATAGCTCGTCGTAGGTGGCTCACATACACATGCACAGAGAGAAACTACAAGTACAAGTATTACAAATTTCAAAGGGAACGCTTTCTTTTTCCTCAAGCTTTACTTAGTCCGAAATTAATAATTTGGCACAGATGTATGTAAGCGGGGTGTCCATCAAGAGAGTTTTCACTGTATTTCCTATGCCAGCTTTATGATATAATGCCCCAATTTTTATAAAGCCTCAAAAAACTATGATACTTATGAATATGACAAATAAAATGGAGTTGAGAGTAATTTTTTCATAGATTCCTCCTACAGCGGGTATATAAATTAATGAGCCTATAACCCTGATTGCACAATTACATGGCAAGCAATATATTTAAAATTTGGTGTCGCTAGCTAGTGTGCTACAACAGTTATCGGTGTTCATACAGTCGAACAGATGGATAATAGGTCAGACATTTAGACACTCATCTCGTCATGGTCATAGTTTTTTGCAACTAAAACAATGGGTCTCTTTTCCACTACATTTTCGAATGCACCCTTCTTTTTTGGTCAGTGTATAAGATATGTTAGCAGTAGGTGCTTGCATATGTCCGTAGATATTTTGCTTTGCTTAGCCGCCGTAAAGACGGCCATGTTTTCAACCTCATCGTGTGTCGGTGTCGGTGCCGGGCATCGGTGCTGGTTTTGGTCGCCTGCTCGGAACAATGCCGCAACATTTTATTATGGTTAAACATGCATTCATTATGCTGCTGCTGCAGTATTGGGAAGTACTGAGTACCATGCTGTATCGCAATAAGTGCCGGCAAAACACTAAACTACAGTTGAAGTATAAGGCAATACATTCCCTCAGACACACACACACACATAAACGAGTATACTTGAGTTCTATTTACAGAGTATGTTTGTGGGTGCAGAGAAGGGGGGCGGGATAGTGTATACTGAAGACTGGGTTGTTCAAAATTTAGCTAACCACAATACACTAAATACTTCAGCAGCATGACATGGCTTGTCCATCTGCAGGGACACTTCAATGTGATTCGCATATCGCCTATGTGAAAATATAAATTCCATTTGGCTTTTCATTACGTATTGGATATAATCTGATGCCTTGCTATTCTTGCTAATTAACAAGGCCACATCATCTTTTAAATAGTTGAATGATTCAACCCCTTTTTTGTGTGAAAGCAATAGCATATCTTGTTCTTAGAAAGAAAGGTATATCTATAGTTGAAGTAATCTATTTAGAATTGGTTCGGACTAATGACCACCAAAGAAGTCCACAGTGATGGGGAAAAAAAATCGATAAATGCGAAAAGATAAGCAGTATGAGCTGAATAGCATTATACAGAGCAATTAATAGCCAGAATAATTTATCAGACAAGTAGATTACAGAAATATACTCGTGGTTGAGCTCGGAAGATTATAGACTTACAAAAAGATTGCTTCAGTACTATCTACTTTAGTATTCATTCCATAAGTAATGCCAACTCTTCTGTATTTGAAAAGCTCTGTGGTTCTGATTCTTCACTTGCAATAATTTAAAGCTCTTATTGCTTATCCTTGGTTTTCCTTTATATTTATATATATT